AAGTAATGGGCGCACTAAGCTGAAAATTTCAGTAAATGTTTATTTATCATATTTAAGTGCATGATAATTTTTTTGATAAAATATAGGCAAAAATAAAGATTTTATTATGCTTGAATGTGCACGAGGTATTGCCCTACGGCGCACGGTCAAAAAACCAAGGTTTTATTAAAGAATACACAAGTTTGAATTCAAAATAAAAGTTTGAAATACATAAGATTTGGATTAAAATTATCCTAATTCAATTCCACAATCAATTTTGTAGTCTTTATAAAAAATTTAAGGCATTTGCTTAATTTCTGGCAGTTTCTCGAGCATTCAAAATTGGAAAGTGGTAAACATAACACACGAAAAATGGCAACGTTTTATGACGTTACGGCGCACCGGAGAACAGTTCAGTTTCATTTCGATGTTGTAATGACACCTTTAGAGACTTGAAATGACCATAGAAGAAAAAAGATTATAAAAATATCAGCATATCTTAAGTATACAAATGAAATAGGAGTTTTCTTAGCGAAGATTTTTTTAACGAGTCCCTGGGGAGTACAAAACATACGGACAAACTCCTAATGTAAAAGCAAAAGACGCTGTCACAGTAGACCGCCGATATGAGACTTTCTATTAGTTGAATGATGGTGAGAATATTGTCCGTAACTTACTAATAAATCTTCAGAAGATCGCATGAGGGTGCCATTTGGTTCTTCGGCTGTTTATGGAGACTAGAGAATGTGTATCAAAGAAATTCCTAAATTTAAGTCGGACTCATCCAGCTTCATTTTCAGCAGAGATAAAACGTGACGCTGTTTTAGACACTTCGATCATCAATGTGCCTTAAGGCAATACAATACATACCATAAAATCTCATAATTTGTTTATTTATGCATATATCTATGTGAAATTTGCTGTGTATATTATTACTAAAATATGTACTAATTAATAATGAAAATTTCAAAACGCAGTTATGTTTATTTTTCACACTAGACAACTTGTCCACGATTTTACGGGACAACCCTCGTACAAATACTTTTTTCAGTATCGACAAGAAAAATGAATTCTCTGCAATAAAATATCGATTTTGAGCTCACAAGAGCTGAAAGCTTTTCTGATCACATTTTGTCCGTCTGTCTAGCTGTCCGTCCGTCTGTGAACTATTAACATCTTCTCTAGAACCACTGGAACAATCTCAACCAAACTTACCAGAAAGCACCCTTGGGTAAACGGGATTAATATTTGTACAAATGAAGTACTACAACTTTTAAGGTCAAGATCTAGTAAATGAAAGGTGCCTACAGATTTATCAAACTTGAGAAATAAATTCCCTTACTGATGCTTTTCAACTTTAGATTGGTCTAATAAGGTGTTTCGGGGCATAATTTTTAGGTAAACAAGATGAAAAACAGTATTTTAAAGTGTCATTTTCAATGAAAAAATTAGAAAACCAGTCATGAATACGGGAGTTTTTCTCATATTCGACAAAGGAAATGTATCCAGATTGCCTACAGTCTCTCAGAAAACGGTAATTAGTATGTTCATGGCCTCTTCTTTAAATCAACATCAAATTTAATATAGGTATCCGGTTTACTTTTCATACGATTTCAAATTGAATGTCATGAAAATACCCTATTTTCTACATAATTCTGCTAAAGCCGAAAAGTACGGGAAAAAGAAAGTTGAAATTGATTATGACGTCATAATGGATCTAGCACCAAAAAAGTAGGCTCAAGTTATTTACTAGATCCTTGACCTTAAGGTTTGACTGACCTACAATATGTAGTAACTGTTCCGTCGCCAATGCAAGCGTTCGGCACTCGAAAGTGAAAGTTGCGGGTCCTTCGAGTCACAGGCACCTGAAGTATGGATCGAATACCCCCCCTTTTTTTAATGAAAAAAAAATGTAAAAGTGTATAATACCTCGAAAATATAAAATTTCCTCGTCAAACACATCTATATGTTACGAAAGACGAATAAGGCCACATAAAAAAATATCTTTATCTCGTAATTACGAGATATTTTCTCGTAATTACGAGATAATTATCTCGTTATTACGAGAAAAGATCTCGTAATTTCGAGAAAAGATCTCGTTATTACGAGATAATTATCTCGTAATAACGAGAAAAGATCTCGTTATTACGAGATAATTATCTCGTTATTACGAGAAAAGATCTCGTTATTACGAGAAAAGATCTCGTTATTACGAGTTAAAGACGAATAGGGCAACATAAAAAAATATTCGTATCTCGTAATTACGAGAAAAGATCTCGTAATTACGAGTTAATTATCTCGTAATAACGAGAAAAGACCTCGTTATTACGAGTTAATTTTCTCGTTATAACGAGAAAAGATCTCGTAATTACGAGATGATTATAAATATATATTTATGCCATATCTTGGAATTTTTTCTTTAATAAATTTCTTTTACTAATTTTATGAATTCCGTAGGTTCATCCATTTTACATTAAGAGAGAGTAGAACAATGAAACGCACCATTTTTTATAGATCTTTTCTCGTAATAACGAGATCTTTTCTCGTAATTACGAGATAATTAACTCGTAAGATCTTTTCTCGTTATACCGATATAATTAACTCGTAATAACGAGATCTTTTCTCGTTATTACGAGATAATTAACTCGTAATAACGAGATCTTTTCTCGTTATAACGAGATAATTAACTCGTAATTACGAGATAATTAACTCGTAATAACGAGATCTTTTCTCGTTATTACGAGATCTTTTCTCGTAATTACGAGATAATTAACTCGTAATAACGAGATTTTTTCTCGTTATTACGAGATCTTTTCTCGTAATAACGAGATCATTAACTCGTAATAACGATATCTTTTCTCGTAATAACGAGATCTTTTCTCGTAATTACGAGATAAAAATATTTTTTTATGTGGCCCTATTCGTCTTTCGTAATATGTCGTTATATGCAAGCAGATTGCACCTTTTCTCACGTTTAAAGAATGGCCCTATTCGGTATAATAAAAATACACAAGGTGAATTTTTATTATACCGAATAGGGCCATTCTTTAAACGTGAGAAAAAGTGCAATCTGCTTGCATATAACGACATATAGATGTGTTTGACAGGGAAATTTTATATTTTCGAGGTATTATACACTCTTGCATTTTTTTCATAAAAAAAGAGGGGGTATTCGGTCCATACTTCAGGTGCCTGTACTTCGAGTGGCATTGGCGCGATTAAGAACCTTCAGCACTCAAAGGCCCTGAGTGCCGAGGAAAGGTCTAAACTCTAGAACTGTTACATGGTGACGTCTTAATATGAATGAAAAATTCTCGAAACAGCAATCAATCAATCAATCTTCTCAAAAACACCAAAGCATTCACATGACATATGTATATATCGAAGCATCCTCGAATAGTTTACAATCAAGATACTGAATGGTTCAAATCATGACCCCCAAGGGTAGGGAGAGGCCATAATTGGTGATCAAAGCTCGAGAAAGCATGAGAATATAGAGTAAATCAATAAAAATGTTTACCATATTGATTTAAAATCATTCTCAGGAAGTGTTGGTTCAGATTTGTTAAAGTCATGATATCTAGCTGTAGGGTGGGTCCACAATGGGAGATCGAAGTTTTACAAAGGAGTACATATATAAAGGGGGGTTAAAATCTCATATCAAAGCATCTTATCCATTTTTAGTCAAACTGATAATACATTGTAGAAGCATCCTCGGGTAGTGTAGATTCAACTTTGCTCAAATCATATGACCCCTGGGGTCAGATGCAGTCAGAATAGGGGAAGTTTTACATATGAATATATAGGAAAAAATCTCCAGAACAGTTAGGATATTTTTAGAAATATCAATTGAGAAGCATCTTTTGGGTAGTGTAAATTCAAGTTCGTTCAAATTATGACCCATCCGCTCGGGAAGGGGGGGGGCAATGAGGGGAATTAATATTCTACACCTAAAGAACAGAAAAACAATATACGATCCTCAGGATGTTTAAAATCAAGTTTGTTCAAATTATGACCCTGGGCCCTGGGATTTGGATGGGGCAACAAAGTTACAAAGTACAATCAAAGTTTTACAGTGTCCTATCAGTTTGTTCCTATCATGACCCCTAGTGGGTGGGGTTGGGTAACAAAAGGGGGTCAACCTATGCAAGGGAATATATTGGGAAAATATCAACACGTGTATTTTTTTCTCATGAACAGCAAAGCCCATGATTAGTCAAGTTCATTTAAAAGCATCCCCTGGTTATCAGATTCAAATATATTCAAATATTTCCCTGGGTTAAGGGCAAGGCATCAATACAAGATTCATTTTTTGGGACCATTTTATGTTGAAACTTTTCAATACTAAACTGACTTATTTTCCAAACCTGGATTCTCATGTGAGCAATGTGGCACATCTGCCTCTAGTTGGTAATAAAAAACCATGCTTTTCAAATCATCTTTGGGGAGGATGGGAGTTAAATTGTGTAAGTCTTCGTTAAAATTTTAATTAATCTAATAAGAAAACCAGGCATGGATCCACCATTTTTTTCCAAGTGGGGATGGGAGTGTCCACCAATTCTAACAGAAGTCAGACTTGCAAATCTTACACAAGCCTTAAAAAGTTAATCAACTTCCTCGAATCTGAAAATCCATTTTTGGTCGGGTAAGTAGGGTGGGGAGAAGTTACATTCCAAATTTTATTTTCTTCAAATAGTCATTTTTTCAGTGGAGGGTTGTGTCCAAGGTCATTTGTATTTACTTTTACATTACCCAGAACATCTTAACACTGAAAAAAAACGCATGAGGAATCCCCCTCAAGAATTGCCATTAACAGTTATCCAAGAGGCAAGCGTTCTGGTCAAAGGGACCTAATCTTCATTTCAAACTAATCAATAATATCTTTTATTGTGTATGAAGGGTATTAATCTATGGGATGATTAAAAAAAAAGTTCATATAATTGCAAAGTGAAAAGGCATACTAACATGAAGTAAAAAAAAAGCACAATTAAAGGGAAGTAATAAAAAATCTCAATAAAAGATTGGTGGATTTTTATGTCTTTATTTATCAGTGTTTTCAAGTTCAAGCAGGTAACAATAAAGAAAAACATGTGCAAGTCATGCATACCTTGAGTTTGACAAATTTAACCAAGTACAAAATAAATACACTGGTACAATGTACATGTGTATTATTTTCTTAGAACAAAATATGCCAGAATTTGTGGATTATTTCCATTGTAGTTGTCAACATAGATTGATCACCTTTTTGAATATGGAAATATTTTACATGTACATTTAAATATATGTATTTCTATCATACGTAGATAAATTAATGAACGAACTCCACCTTTGCAAGGCAATTTATCATAGGCAATATATATTGTGTGAACTGAATTAAATTTAACATGATAGATTGATAATATATAGAAAATGGCAGATATATGAATTATATAACCATATTATAGATAGTCCTTTACAATGTAAATAACAAACAAACTGAATAGGTAGATCAAAAACTTTTTCTTGATGAACAATATTATTAACAGATTGAAGTTAAAATTAAAAAAAAAAGATATTCAAAGCATCAACTCAATTCATCCAAACTGCAAATCTGTAGCTCACAGGACAGAAAAGGTCAGAATGAGCAAACTGTGTTTTCAGGCAAGAGAACTACAGATCGAAGCTACTCTCATTCAAGCATTAATACAATAAATATCAAATTTTAAAAAATATCAAAAATCAGACTTCCAATCATAATAATGTATTATATACATTTAAACATCTAGAACGGGCTGAGTACCATCTTCAGTGACGTTAACATAGGAATGATCTGAGTTGGAAGCTTTAGAGGGTGACTCAAATATAACAACAGTTTCTGCTAATTGTTCAGATCCATTCACTTCTGAATGTAAAGCACTTTCTGCAAGTTGGATAAGTCCTTCAGTACTTGAAATTTCACTTCCTGCAGGGGCGTCTTCATATATAATATTAATAGTTTCAACAGATGAACTGTTGTCCAAGGGATGTGTTTTTGAACTTGATTCAGTACTAACCATTGGTTCTGCTGAAGATGACTGACGTTTGATTGCCTTGTTGAGAATTTCTGACGGGAGCTGGATATACTGTTTCCCAGATTCATCTGTAGACACCACCAATGATATGCTCTCAATTGCTTCACTCCCATCAGAGGTTCCTTCACTGATCTTACCCACAGTCATTGGATCTGGGGTCTCTTTCACCTGTGGAACCTTTGTCACAGCTTGAACGTTCTTAAATCCAACAGGTTTTGGTGTTGCACCAGCAGCTTTAGTATCCATCACAGCAACATGTCTTTCTACCATCTGGTTGCTGGAGGTAACAATTTGATAGTTTGTTGAAGTATCACTTATCATTTTGCCTTCTGCCACAGCAACATGTGCTTTTGTGCTTTTCTGATGGCTTCTTGCAACAACTTGAGAATTTTCTGATGTCACTCTTATCCCTTTGTCATTGTCAGTAACAGCATGTTTTTCTGCATTGTTTGAAATGTTGCTGGCAACAACTTGATATTTTTCCTTTCCAAATTTATCTAAAGCTACATAAAGAACATCTGGGTTTCCTTGCCTGTCTGTCTCAATGACCTGATATTCTGTTTTTCCATGAAGTTTTCTCTTAACAGAATCATCAGTGGCCATCTGCGATTCTGACCTCTTACTGCTGCCAGTTGCAACTTCTTGTACCTCAACATTTCCATCAGCACCATAAGATATCACTTGTACTGACTGGACTGTTTCTGATATCTGATTTTCGATATCATTAATGGCAATGTGTAATACTTGCTCTCCTCCCTCTTCAGTAAAATACTGAACAGCATTGGCTGGAATTTCAATTTCGGCCACTTCATCCGTACCCTCATTACTTGGCAGTAATTGTACTGTCTGGTTTTGCAGCTCCATTTCATTTGAGATGGGAACGCTGTGATCTAGCACATAATGTATTGTCTGGGACAAGCCTTCATCTCCCTCTGTCTCCAATGACTGTACTTCATGAGTTTTCAAGTGTTTTGAAAGCGAGGGACGACTGTAATAAATTTGCGAGCAGATTTTACATTGATAATTAGTAGCAACTGTCTCCTCTGAGTTGTGCAGTTTTTTGTGCTTTCTAAGAGACAGTCGATATTTAAAACGTTTCTTACACACGTCACAAGGATATTTTTTCTCCTCTTCTTTTGGTTGATGTGCATTTTGATGCTCTTTGTAGTCTAAATACTCCTCAAATTCCACTGAGCAGACAAAACATCTAAATGGACCATCGCCATGCACTTCCATATGTTTCTTCATGCCTGCCATAGTAGGATAAATTTTCTCACACACCCCACACTTGTACAGAACCTTACTATTGTGCATTTCCAGGTGCTTCTTCAGAAAAACATGCTGCTTAAACATTTTCTTGCAGAGGTAACACTTATAGGCTTTTTCTTCTGGATTGGTCTCCTCTGGGAAAATATTTTCTCCTTCCTTCACACTGACAACGGGACGCTGATGTTGTCGGATGTGTTTTTCTAAATGAGACGGTTGAAGAATCATCTGACCACAGACCTGGCACTGGTGTTTGGTAGTTTTCTTATGATTTATCATTAGATGTCTCCTTAGGTTTGCTATGGAATTGAATGGCTTTCCACAATAATCACAAGGATTAGCTCTTCCTGAGACGTGGGTTCGGACGTGTCTTTTCAAATGTGATGAACGGAAAAAAGTTCTGTCGCAGACTTCGCACTGGAACTGCTTTTTCAGCTCATGTTCTTGCTTATGCCTTATATACTCCCCTTCATCTAAAAATCTTTTATCACATCGAGCACATCTAAATGAACCAGGTGCTGATGTATGTATAAGCATGTGTCTGGACAAATGCTTGGATTGCCGGAAATTTTTATCACAATATTCACATTGGTAAGGCCTTTCATCTGTGTGTATTCTGATATGCTTCTGGACATTTGAGGGATGGGAAAACATCTTCCCACATATATGACAGGGATATGGCTTTGGATTATCATGAGTTATTCTATGAGCCTTGAGGTTTGAGGGCCGGTTAAAACCTTTTCCACAAACATCACACTTGAAAGGCTTCTCACTAGAGTGTGTGGCCATGTGAACCTTCAGAAAGGATTTGGCGTTGAAGGCCTTGTGACAGACTAGACATTTATGAGGCCTTTCTCCTGTGTGTAGAGTCATGTGTTTGTCCAGATCTACTTGATTCACAAATCTTTTTGTACAATGCTCGCACTTCATCATGGTATTCACCACCCTTTTTGGTACTAGTTTTACAGGTGAAGGGGGTACCCCAGGTGAAGGTATTTCAATCTGGACATTCTCAGGGGGAATCACTACCTCTCTTTTCACTTGCAGAATTCCATTCTCATCCGTAAAGAGCTCCTCACTAACTAAATCAGACATTTCAGAAACATCACTTGCTGCAGTTGGTGGAGGCACTTTGTGCTGTTTTCTGTGTCTAATTAATGCTTCTTTAGAAGAATATAATTTATCACAAATATTACAGGCATATTTTACTTTATCTTTATCTACATTATGAACCAAAACGTGCCTTCTTAAATGTTTGGATAATTTATAGCTTTTGTCACAGTATTCACATTTATAAGGCCTTCCTTCAGAGTGCTGCGAGCTTATGTGCTTCTTCATGTTAGACGGATGCGTGAAAACTTTCTCACAGTAGTCGCATTTAAAAGGCTTTTCCTTCGTGTGTGTAAGATGATGAGCCTTTAGATTGGAACTTCGGGAGAACCCCTTGTTGCATATTTCACAGACAAAAGGCTTTTCCCCAGTATGAATCATCATATGGACTTTAAGGAAGGACTTGGCACTGAAAGATTTCCCACACACATCACAGTTATACCCCCTGCCATATGTATGCAGACCCATGTGCTTTTCTAAAGACTCTGTGTCTTTGAACCGTTTTTCGCACAGTTGACATTTTCGATGCTCCCCGGGCTGGATGGGGGTGACAGGGATTTCTAGTGTTCCAGTGTGTAAGGGAGTAAACTTATGTGGCATCTGTTCAATGACCCTCTTGCTTGGTTCGTTCTCTAATGTAAACTCTATTTTACTATCCTCCGTCACCGTTACTTGGCAGACTTCATACTTCACGTTGTTATTGTCAATGAAAATCATTTTGGGTGTTGTTATTTGATCCAACTTGACACCAGCATGTAATCATCTGCAATTCTGGTCATACCATTTTCTGTCTCCTGAAAAATAATAGAAATATGTACTATATATATTTTATAATAAAATTCATGTACATGTAATTGTACATTTTAATTTTTTTTCATATTAGCACTTTAAAAAGCATGAATTTATAACATGTAATAGTAAATACTTTTTAATTGAAAATATTGCAATATTTGCATTATCTATTCATGTCAAAAACAATTATTTAGTAATACTCATTGTACAACTAATCATTAATATAAAATTTTTACTATTCAAATACTTAAGAGTGAAACTGTATATATATTGATATTTGCTAGTTGTGAACATATAAAATCTTACAAGGGCAACAGGGGAAATAGACAGGGTTCACATGAATAGCAAACAACATTTTCATAAATAGGTTCTTAACTAAAGAAGAAGATGCAGTCTGGTCTTTATTGATTGCTAAAATTTAATGCTTTCAAAAGTTACAAAATTGGTACGAGTTGATATGAGTACAATATGTGATAAACCATGAAAAAATGTGGCATTCCACTGAAAACTGAAGTCTTCTGCAACTTTATAGGAAAATGTTCATGGTATCACAATTATTGTAGCATTTAGGAGGTCATATGGGAAAAATATTAAATGATTTGTATGTTCTTACTGCATGAGACTTCAAATGATTCATATGAGTATGAAATGCATCTCAATTTTTGGACCTACATCAAAAAGAAACATTCTTGCATACATTATGTATGCATGTTCACAGATTGTGTTTGTCTTCAGATAAAGTGAGTCATGGTTATGACTGTTCAATGTTGATAAGAGGAAGAATAACTAACATAAGTACTTGATGTAGCAAAATGATTCAATTGTCCTTTGCCATGCCCTGGGGATGGAAGATGTGGGTCTACCTGGGGAGGGGGAAGGGTGTCTTTGGGGTGAAGACTTTTAAGGGAGCAATGTGTCCATCAGATGGTTTTAATTATGAAAATATGGCTCAGTTGAGGGGGCACCTGGCTGGGGATTTGGAGGGCCCAGCTTCAAATCCCAATCTGGTCCATCACATTTTTCTTTTCTCTAAGTACATCAATTACAGGCACGTAACATTAAGGTGAAGGGAATGGCCTATGGGGGCCTATAGGATTTTCGAATTTGGACGATCCCACCCCCCTTTTTTGTAAAGTCTTGATTTCATGGAAGTTGAAATCTTTTCCCTCCGGTTGCCCCCTTTCAAAAACGATGCTACGTCACTGAAGTAAGCATATATTTTAAAATTGCTTAAAAATATGTATATATATTAATTTATGTAATCTTTCTATGTCTGATTTTCTGTCGTTCATTATTGAAACATGTACATGTATAGAACTTTACAAAAAGTGAGTGTTGGTAAAATGGGTAGGTAAACCCAGGCTGGGGCAAATTAAAAGCTGGGGCAGATCGAGATTTTTCATATTTCCGTCTTCATACTTTATCGATTGAGCTGAAATTTTAAGAATCTTTTTAATATATGATCATTTATATTCGCTGCTAAAATTGCCCTGAAATACTTTATATTGTAGATTTTATCGGCAATTATTCATTTTCAAGTTGGTAAAATGGGTAGGCAGTTTCCCAAGTTCACAATTTAAGTTTTCAGACATATGCTGCATAAAGTCCATAACGTTCTGAATAATTCTGGCATGTAAGAATATATTCTAACAATAAATTAATATTTCTTCATTGGTTATTGAAATATTAACGTAAAATTATGTGTTTTAAGAAAAACCGGGTCATTAAAAGCGGATCCGATCACCGGGAAAAACCTGAAAATTCCGGAATAGTTGAACAGGTTATTTTTTTTACTGGAGAATGTTTGTCACCTGAAAAGAAAAACCGCCCATAAAAAAAAGGCTCTTATGAGGATATCTCCATGTAGTTAGAGCTGGGTGATGTCACAAAAGTGATAGCTAACATCCTCCAATACAAACAATTGGCCTTAATAATTTCGGAATTTTCGGCATATATTGGAAAAGTCCACAATTGTGATGGTTTAATGAGTCGTAATTAAAGAATACCATAAAATGTCGTATTGATTTAGCCTACCCATTTTACCAACCTGGAAATGAACAATCGCCCAGAAAATCTGAAATATAGCCGCATATTACGGTGATACTAACAGCGAATACAACAATACATTCTAGGCACATAATCGGAAAATTTCAGATTAATTGAGGGAGTCTTAGCGGAGATATTTGAAAAACCTCGATCTGCCCAGACTTTTAATTTGCTCTGGCCCGGGTTTGCCTACCCATTTTACCAACACTCACAAAAAGTATTATCAGTGTATTTATTGTTACCACTTCAGAGGCCTAAAATGATTGAAAAAAATAATAATAATTGATTTGATGTTGCCAGGCAAGCGGAATAACTTGCAAATGGCATCTACTGACATTTAGATAGATGATCTGATCAGCCGAGTTTTTTCGAACTAATATTTCCTATGTTAACCTTGACCCTAACATTGAGCTGGTGGGTTGTCACCTACAGCTCGCAGAGATAACGGTGAAGATCAATGTGTCCGTAGGTACATTGTACTATATAAATAAAGTTTTGATTTCAAAACATTGTTTTACCTATTAAAAATCTCTGAGCAGAAGTATACAACTTGAGAAAACACTACATTTTCTTGCAGTATACTAGTTCCCTCTTCCATAAATATGGCGACCAAACTTAAATGCTGAAACCCAATCCGAAAGAGTAAGAAAATTCCGGAAAGAAGAATCATTACTGCATTTCGAACAAAAAATTATTTTTCATGAAACAAAGTCGTCTATTTAAAATAACATTTTATTACATTCAATGTGCATATGATATAATCGAATCAAGTCGATGAAATTAATTTTTCAAGACTAAATCTGAACTCTCCTAGTATTACCCAATCCATATTTAATAACCGGAAGTGCATCTGTTGAGTGGGAATTTTGAACAATGGCAGAACATTATATCGAGGGACATGATTATATGCTGTATTTACCAAATGAAAGACTTAAGACGTTCAAAAATTGGCCTCTTGGCGAAAACTGTAATTGCACTCCGAAAAAGGTATGGTAAATTGTAATGCAATATTAAGTGAATTCAACTTATCAAGATCCACAGGCATTTGTTTCATACAGTACGCTAATTTTCAACTATACAGTAACACTGTATGAAAAAAGCGCCTGTGTCAAGATCCTCTAAATAAATCACAGGAACTTGGGTACATGGGTCTTGCACAGGTACTTGGGTCTTGGTTTATAAATAATATGTATGTGCATTATTGATATGTTAAAAAGTTCTTTTTTACATATCAAATTCGTCAATAAGGAACATACATATTTATGAACCAAGACCCAAGTGTACCTGTGAAATTAATCAAAAGTTTGAATATTTTACCTTCTTCAAAATATAGCGTTTAATTGCTGCAGAACTGTAGCCTCATGGTTTTATATATTAGTCTTTGATCATAACCACAGGGGCATCTTATCCACTCTGTTCTCTACTTCACAAATATAAATACACAAGGGAAGAATCGAAAGTAGCACACGATTTTAAAAATAAGTCAAAAAACAACTTACTTGAGAAAAGTTACACAAATCCTGAAATGAACTAGCGCAAATGATGTCCTAGTACTTATCCAGGCTAAAATATTCCAAATATATCCATCGAAAATAGCTTTTATCTAACGAAAATCCCAGCTTTCTGCACAGTGTGAAACTCTTCGCCCAAGAAAAGATAACTCACTCGGATGACAATAGGGTAGTACCCGAGGCCTTCCGAGTGCAATCTGAAGGCCTCGGGTACTACCCTATTGTTTCTATATAATTTCCTATAATTTCTATTATCTTTTTTTCATTTTTTAGTTGGCTGAAGCTGGATTTCATCACTGTCCTACAGATAACGAACCAGATGCAGTCCGCTGTTTCTTCTGCATGAAGGAGTTAGATGGGTGGGAACCAGATGATGATCCATGGTAAAAATATCAACAAAAATAAACAGTTGTCACATGCAAAAAATACAGATGTAGAGCCGCAGTCCCATCCAAAGAAAGAATGTTTATTTATTATGCACAAAAAGTTGAACTTGGTTCTCAGTTTTTTAGCTCACCTGAGCTGAAAGCTCAAGTGAGCTTTTCTGATCACATTTTGTCCAGCGTCCGTCTGTCTGTAAACTTTTCACATTTTCGACTTCTTTTCAAGAACCGCTGGGCCAATTTCAACCAAACTTGCCACAAAGCATCCTTGGGTGAAGGGGATTCAAGTTTGTTCAAATGAAGGGCCACGCCCTCATTCAAGGGGAGATCATTAGTAATTAATGAAAATTTGGTGGCATATTTTAAAAATCTTCTTCTCAAGAACCACTGTGCCAGGAAAGATGAAACTTATGGGGAAACATCCTCAGGTAGTGTAGATTCAAGTTTGTTCAAATCATGACCCCCGGGGGTAGGGCGGGGCCAAAATGGCCATAAAGTTTTACATAGAAATATATAGGAAAATTCTTTAAAAATCTTCTTCTCAAGAATGACAAAGCCATAATTCATCATATTTATATGGAAGCATGTTCATGTAGTGTAGATTCAAGTTTGTTCAAATCATGACCTCCGGGGGTAGGGCGGGGCCAAAATGGCCGACCAAAGTTTTACATAGAAATATATAGGAAAATTCTTTAAAAATCTTCTTCTCAAGAATGACAAAGCCATAATTCATCATATTTATATGAAAGCATGTTCATGTAGTGTAGATTGAAGTTTGTTTAAATCATGACCCCCGGGGGTAGGGCGGGGCCAAAATGGCCGAACAAAGTTTTACATAGAAATATATAGGAAAATTCTTTAAAAATCTTCTTCTCAAAAATGACAAAGCCATAATTCATCATATATATATGGAAGCATGCTCAGGAAGTGTAGATTCAAGTTTGTTCAAATCATGACCCCCGGGGGTAGGGCGGGGCCAAAATGGCCGACCAAAGTTTTTAAAGATATATATAGGAAAATTCTTTAAAAATTATTTTCTAAAAAATATCAAATCCATGATTGGTCATGGGACTACTTTTGGATTTAAACTTTACAATAAAAAAGCCATTTTCTACTTTTTCCTACCCTTAGTGCTCAGGTGAGCGATGTGGCCCATGGGCCTCTTGTCCAAATTCTTATCTAAGTTGCTTAAAATTTCAAAATTTCCTTATAACTTTGAAAACTTCTTGAATAGTTGACATCTGATTTGAACATAGCATGTTGAATTGAATTACCTTGACATCCAAAAAATAGTTGTCCATTCAGGCATTGACAATTTCCATCTAGTGATTTGAAGTGTTTGAAAGTAATTTAAACTCATTCTTTACTATTTAGGGCTGAACATGAGAGCCATTCACCAAAATGTCCTTTCCTACCGATTGGCAAGAAATCTATTGCATCTTGGACAGTTTCAGAAATATCAGACCTTCATCAAAAGAGCATGGAAAACACAATTGTAAGTCAATGGTTCAGTACTATAGTTAGTACTTCAGAATCCATAGATCAGGCTCCGGGGCCATAAAACTTAGCCAGCTCACTTTTGAGCTCAAAATTCGAGACGGTCTAGGTTTTTGGTCTCAGTCTCACGTTAGGTGTGCCATAAAAATTTGCCGTCTCGGTCTCAGTCTCACTTTCTTGGTTTGGTCTCACTTTTGAGCTCAAAAAGTTAGACCACATAAAAGGTGTCTAACTTCATAATTTTTGGTCTCACTTCCAATATGGCGTCTTCGGCAGCGAGATTGAATATTTTCAACATCATACAGCGAAGGAGGAAGGCACCTAAACCACGAGTTTTTCGAGATCGGTCGAACCCTTTGGAGGACATGGATGAGGAGGAGGTTTTTTCTCGCTTTCGCTTTCGACCAGCGACCATTCTATTCCTTGTCGGCTTGTTATTCAATGACCTCAACCATCCAACAGAGAGGAATGTGGCGTTACCCCCCTTATTACAGGTTCTTGCAGCTCTGAGGTTCCTTGCCACGGGTTCGTTTTACATCCTTGTGGGAGAATCCTTGGGCATTGCCAAGTCAACGACTGGACGCGCTGTTCGGTATGTGTGTCGCTTGTTGGCGGACATGACCGGTACATACATTAGTTTCCCTGCAGATACCTCAACTTTCAAGAAAAGATTCTTCGATATAGCAGGTTGGTTTCGGAACTTTTCTACTTTCACTTTGTATAGGTCCCTATACGGTTACGGGGTAATTCGTTCATATGTTCTCTGCTGAATAATGTAGATTTATCAATGTACAGACTGAAGTCCATAAAGTCTTCCAAGTTGAAAAATGTATGTTTTCATTCAATATATATCTGATTCTCTCAATGACAAGGTTCAAATTTGTCTTGTTCTATATATAAGTGATACGGCATCTATAAGCAGTTTTGTAAACGTAAATATTCACGATTTACTTCCCCTTTGTTTACAAACAAAATGATATTGTGTCAGTGACCGTGTTTGGAAAAAAAAAGAGTGAGAAAGGGAAAAATGCGGGGGAAATGTGAGATTTAAGTATTTGTTTTATTTAAGTTAAATGTTTTGAAGGATTTCCAAATGTTGTTGGTTGTGTTGATGGAACGCAGATTAAAATCAAGGCACCCAGTGAGAATGAAGGAGACTTCGTCAACAGAAAAGGTTTCCATTCTCTAAATGTTCAGGTAATTCGGAAAATAACATTAGGACCTATGCCATTCACCTATTTCTTTGCTACTGTATTGATAAACAATTTTTTTTAATTTGCAATGATTGGAAAGTTTGTGTAATTATTCATAATCTACAAAATCAATATTTGATAGTCAAATTTTCTTTTTTAATGAAAAAGTCTAATACTAGCTATGTGTTTTTATGGTTATACAATATATGTGTACAAACAGATGTGTACTAATTGCCCTACCCATCTTTTTTCACAATTTTGATATTTTAAAAAAAGAATTAAACAAAAGTTAATATATTTTATACTGAGCAAACCATGTAAATAATTAAATTACACAATTATAATTGCTGGTTTTTTTTCTTCTTTTGTCAATACAATGATTTAACTACCTGAGGAATACAATATTAACCACGCACGCCCCAAGGACGAGATAAATATTGTACTTCGAAGCCCCTCTCCCCCCCCCCCTCCGACGCCTATGAATTAATGATTAACTTATTAACAGGCTGATTATTTCATTTCAGATGATATGTGGACCAAAGTTCCTAATAACCAATGTTGTAGCCAAATGGCCAGGGTCTGTTCATGACTCTAGAATCTTTAGAGAGTCTGCTATTTGCAGAGAGTTTGAGAATGGTAAGACATGAATTAATTATTATCATGTTGTTTATTCTTATTTGTCCATCCACCATGTCAAGCACATTCTATTGGTTAAACTAAATCGAATGATAACAATTCAAAATTGCTTGATTTTAGAATATTTTTTCTTAAACATGATAAATGAGCAAATTTTCAGCATGTTAAAGAAGTAACACTCAGTCAGCTGCATGCTGTTGTTGCTGAGAAAATTTTCAAACCTTGAACACACTGAACAAAATAAACACAAAATATTATAAAACTGGGAATTCTGAGTATTCTTGTGCAGTTTTTATCTATTTCTTATGAAAAAAGTATATTCAAACATTGCTAGTCAGATAAGTAAATTAATCCATATACTGAAATGGGTGGGAGCTTTAGAAATTCACAGAAATTTTCAAAAATTCAAGAAGACAATGTCTCTAAGTGATGGTATCAATGAGATTCAATTTGACCATGTATTCTATTTTAGGAACAAAGTCAGGTCAAGGTCATTAGCCTTTTCCTAGGCATTATGTATAAAGAAATTCAGAAAATATATGTCATTTATAAAATTACCGTATAATCCCTATTAACCGCCCCGGGCGCTTAGACAATTTATAATATTTAATGTTTTTGTCATATTTAAACTTCAAAAAATCTTTTGAAAAAAAAAATAAATAAAAGGAACCACTAAAATAATATATAACTACTGTACTTTATGTGAAATAATTCATCCAAATTATGCTAAATTATTGATTTTCCACCGAGAAATTGGATAATAGACAAGTTTAATTTTCACTTTCTTTAAATTTTTGATATGAATCTAAATAGTTTTAATCACTGTGCAAGGGGGCCCTTATTTCTTGACAATTGAAAAAGACCTAAGGGGCACTTATAGGGGCAGGGGTGGTTAATAGGGATTATATGATATACATGCACTTTATTACTAATCTTTTTTTGTTTTTGTTTGAGGACATATTCAAGGTCTTCTTTTGGGAGATTCAGGATATGCCTTGAAGACCTATCTGATGACCCCATACCTAAACCCTGCAGCAGATTTCATGCAGCGATACAACAATGCACATTGCAGAACTCGTGTTCTGATTGAACAGACATTCGGCATTTTAAAACGTCGATTTTCATGCTTACACACTGAACTGCGATTAACACCAGAGAGGGCATGTGTGGCAGTTGTTGCCTGTTGTGTCTTGCACAACATTGGAATTATACGGGGGGACATCATTCAGACCCCTTTGATAGAAGAGGAAGAGGATTGGGTGGATCCTGGTGCCATGGGTGGAGATGGCAAGACAGTGCGAGATCACATTGCCCAGAATTATTTTTAGGTAACCATGATTTGTTACTATTTGATTAATCCTGATAATAATGTACTACTTGCAGTGAATATGAATTCCAAAAAACAGCAAAATTTCACTTAAAGTTTGACTATTGTCATGTGTCACTGTATTGTTTGATGATTAATATGAGAACCACAACCAAAATGTATGAACTCCTCCCTTTTTGGAGAAAAGAGCTGAACGTATGTAGACTCTTTTACTGGAGACGATCAATAGGACTGAGATCTAAATAAATACAAAACAGAAGCATCTGATTCAGTTTCAAGGTGTTTATATTTTTTCTGGATCATAAATAGTACAGACATCTATTTATACAGAAATAGCCAACTTTATGGCAAAAGATATACATTTACATTGTAATATACACTGATACAGGCATCAAAGTTTGGTTGCAGTAAAACATTCACATTTACACTGCATATACATGTACAATCACAGTTTAAGTATGAATATTGATAAGAATTTCCTCTTAAATACTATGGATGGATATGTATACCCACAAATAATAACATATAAAAAGCTAGATTTGGAGTTGAAACCAGGGGATGACCTTTAACATTTCCCATTACTTTTGATTTAGTGGATCTGTGACTTTCATATTTTACATGAGTATTCCTTGTAGCAAGACTTTCCTTTGGTACCTCCAAATTTGACTTTGACCTTGGAGTTTGACCCACAACTTTTACACAAAAATTACAAACTTTTACTTATTGCCATAACTTTTGAACGGTCCGATACAGTGTACAATATAACTTTCATATTTCATATAAATTATGTATTCTTTGTGGCAAGACATTATATAGGATACCAACAACTTTGACCTTGACCTTGGAGATTCCTTTACCAAAAATATGAAAGAACTTGAAACCTTGGCCATAAGTTTTGAACAGATGGTACTAGCTAGGGCTTTTATATTTCACAATTGTATTTCTTCTGAGAAAAACCTACTTTGTGTACCAATATAATCAATTTCCATTAAAGAAAAGTTTAATCTTTGCTATGTTGCAATACAGAGGCATCAGTGTTTCACAAACTCATCTTGTTCCCTATAGTTTTTTTTACTGAGGAGAGATATGCATTACCTGTGACAAGATATTTCAGAGCATGCTATGGTTTCTGACCCCTTGACCTTAATGAATGGCCTTATTTTTAAAAAAAATCAACTTCAGTGATACTATTTCTTAAAGATATATGATTGGTCATTCATATTTGACACAATATGTTATAAAAAATGACATCTCGCCAACAAAGATACCAAAAGCGGGGGACCACAATTCTTTGAATTTGTTTGTTTAAAATGTGCATTTTGTAAAATTTGATAATTATGCATGAAAAAGTCTTTCTTAAGGTAAGGCTATGTAAGTCAAACAAGTCATGTAAGGTTCATTAGAAAATCGCTTGGACAGACAGACATGGTGATTCTAAGTACTCCTCCCCCTCCCGCACCCCAATACCCTAATTCATTTGCAGTGGGGATAATGATATTGTAATTATAAGAAGATGTCTTTGTCACTATGTACACTCTGATATGAATAAACACAAGTTTGGTTGCAGACAGACACAGGGATGAACCAGAAATTAAACTGGATTGAAATAAAAATGAATTTCACCATATGGCTTGACTCCTGACAAAGTTTGGCTAACATTTCAAACATCATGCACTAAAGAAGTTGCTAAGAATACTGGGACAAAAAAAATTACATACAGACTAATATACATGTATAGCTTAAGACACATACAGACACACAAATGTAAAACAGTATAACCCTCCTCTCTTCTTTGGATTGGTCATATCTTTATTTGTTAATCTGTCTGTAGAAATCTTGAGACTAAAATTCAGAAAACTGCGATAAGGAGGGTAAGGAGAAATTACATGATTTGAGAGTGTTCTTCTTTAATTCTATTAACTCTATTTCTGAGGAAACTTTCTGCATTTTTAACTTAATGAACTCCATCTCTAATTTTAGTTTGTCTTTTTCGGCCTCAAGGACTTCAAGATGGAGGGTGTCTGTTGTTCTTCTCCTTTTCCCCATCCCTGTTGCAGCCACTGCAGTCACTGGTGTTGAAGAGACAGACTTTGATGGCCCTGGTTCCATCTGCAGAACTGGTCCTGGTTCTTTCTCAAGAACTGGCTGCTCCACTTAAATGAAACAAAATGTTTATTTCATTCATGTTAATAAATTACATTCATTCAGACATTAACTGACTATTTTAGAGCTTATTTTACATTAAATTTTTAGAGATACTAAATGCCTCTTGAAATATTTTTTATACCTGTGTCAGTGGCTGATGTGTCGAATCCACCCTCTATACCCTCTAATGAGGGTCTCCCTGAGAGGATGGACAGGACAGCTTCGTCCATAGGGGAGGGTGAGGGGGGCTTCGGTCCTCCTCCTGTTGCAGGGTACTTGCTGGTACTGTTTATTTTCTTTGCTGTTCAAAATTATATCATAAATTGATAAAAATATTTTAAAGATTGTGTTATCAAAATTGAATTTTATGAATAGATGTATGACATGTATAGAGATGTATGTTAATTATTAATTATAATTAATTATATGAACATATACATGTGTAATAGGATATTAAACAAATTGATTTCAAAAACAATTTCCACGAATACCAACAAGCATTCTTGAATGAATGAAGTAGTACTAGGAATAAATCTTAAACCTGCGTTAAATATCTTTAAATATTTTTTTTTTATCTTAATTACCTCTCTGCTTCAAATTTGACCATTGTTTCTTGGTCTGTTTCACTGTCCTCTTTTTAAAGACTCCCTTGCTAGAAAGATTAATTTTCAATAAATAATTGATATATGTATATATATATATATTTAAATATGCATACTTTCTGCTTAAAAATCTTTGTGGAAATTCTGAGTAAAAATAAATATGAAAATTGGATAAACAGAATGAAATTAAGGATTTTTTTTTTTAATTTAAAATAGAAATACCTAACACAAGTATTTTTCTTTATTTATAATCATGATAATTCATAATAAATTTCTCTGTCATTATTTTCCTTTTTAATTGAAGTAGTAATTCTTAAAATTTGGATCAAAATCTTGCAAAATTTGTGTTTCTGTTTCAAATGGCTTGTACAAAAACACCTTGTTAAATTAAAAAAATAAATTAAACCATTTTATAATAATATATAGTCTAGGACTGTTATTTACCGGTACATGTATAACATTTGGGTCTTAATCAAAATTTCGTTTGTAAGACGATCCTGTTAGTCTAGGAATTAAAAGTCATTTGTACCAAAATGTAAGGGAAGCGAATAAACAAGACACCGACTTGGATACGTGTGACGTAATCTATAAACAAAACAACTATTTTTGGATTTGGGAAAAACCGATAGCTGTGTCATTTTGAAGGTTGCTCGAGATTTATCGCTAGTCTAAGCCTAGCGAATTTATGAAAGAGACCTATGTAGTTAAATTTGCTTCAGAAATTTCATGCGACATGAGTATTTGCAAAAGCACTTTGTTTCTTCTGTTTTGTTTTTGGCGATTTGCTTTATTCACTATTCAGCGTAAATTTATAGCACATGATTTCACAATTAAGTTGTTTAATCTCCATAATCCACATGTACTTTTAAATACATATTTAATAAGATTCTTTTAGAGGAAATTCTAAAAAATAGAAATATGATATGCAAAACTTAAAAAATAAGGAAAGAAAGATGCAAAACAGAAAAAAAGTTCTTATTCGCAATTTCTTTTTTTAAATGAACGAGCTTATTATTTTCATGGACAGTACAATATATTATTACGATAATCAACTGCCTTTGGGAATAAAATTATGTTCATGCATTTCTTTCTTGCTTTTTCCCCTTCTTTTTATGTAGGTCTATCTGTTATAAATGTGAAAATCACTTATGAACTTACGCGTTCACCGCAGCGGTTATTTCTTCCCAGACTCTGTTTTTCTCCGCCTTTCCGGACTGTGCCCCTTTGAATTTTCCGTCTAAAACATCGCTCCGCTTCGAAGCTTCCTCAATCAATATCTCTTTTTCCAATTTACTCCAAAAGGGCTCATTATTACTCTCATTGTTTTTTGTAATCAAATAAGCAATGTCCTCCTCTGCCATGTTTACGTTTTTGTCAAAACGGACGCTGGCGGACGCTGAGGGGTAACGTAAATTACGTCAGAATGGTCAATATGACGTAACAATCAAATTTTTATGAAAAGAAAACAACAAAACAAAGAAAATTTTGACAGTACTTTAATTTTTCAAAATGATTGCGCAATACCTAGTGGGCGTGGCACTGTCACATGTAAACAATATCCCACAATGCCTTTGATATCCTGTTCAGTTTTGGTCTCACTTTCTGTCTCAAGTTAGAAAATTTAAAATGAGCTCAGTCTCCCTTTATGGCACACTAAAAGTGAGACAGTCTAAGTTAAGCCCGGAAACCGAGATTTTTAGATTGAGCTCAAAAGTTAGCTGGCTAGGTTTTATGGCCCCGGAGCCAGGCCTGGGGCCATAAAACTTAGACGAGCTCACTTTTGATCTCAGTCTGACTTTTACCAAAAGAATATATAGTGGGAAAGTGAGACTAAGATCAAAGGTGAGCTCGTCTAAGTTTTATGGCCCCCGGTCCAGTATTTAACTCTTTTCCAGGAGGAAAATATTCAATATTTCAAAGAAAAAAAAAAACAAAGGGACAGAAATCAATTATTTTTTCTTTTTCTCTTTAGAATAAAATTATGGACATACTGATTGCCACCTACAGAGAGAAGATGAAAACTAAAAGGTTAGAGATCCAGCGACATTTCAAGAAAAAGTAGTGTCAATAATCATCTTCTGCCTTATGGATACCCCCATGGAACACCATCATTTCCATGACATTTTCATTACTGTTCAAAATTTTGTTAAAAAAGAACATTGTTAAAAAGAGCAAGAGAGAGAGAGAGAGAGAGAGAGTTTATCAGCTAAGGTGTGTGAGTAAAATTAAAACATAAATACATGTCCATTGTTTTTAAACTGAATAAATTTTTATATATGTATATATTTTATCTTGATATTGATTTACTGGTAACATTTTATAGAGGCATTAGTGTAAGGTCATGTCAATGAATGAAGTAGAAAAAAATAGAATAAGAAAAGGAAAATTATGACCAATAGCTCCAGGAGCCTAACCACTCATCCTTTTGTTGCTTTATCTGCTCAAAGCTGTTAACAAAATCCAAATCTGCTTTTATTGGCAACATTCAAAATCATTTTCGAAGAGTTTCCCAAACTTGGCTACAACAGCTTTTCATATGCACTCAGCATACATAAATTCAATGGTTAATTTTTTTTTTTTTTTTTGAAAACTAATAAATATAGTAAATTCTCTTTAGAAACTGATTTTTTTTGGTTAATTTTTTTTTTTTGGAAAACTAATAAATATAGTAAATTCTCTTTAGAAACTGATTTTTTAATGCTGAGTTTTGTTAATGCTAAGGATTTTACATGTAGAATTTTAGTATAGTGGTGCATGTAACAAGTAACAATAGTAGCAGATCTTTGTTTTCTATACTACAACCCAGACTTTGTCAAAGAAACATTACATTACACTGTACTAAAAAGGTCCAGTAACTCATAAAAGTAAGAATATGTTTATCATAAAATAAATTATAAGTACATGTATAACAATAAACAAAAGTGTAAATGTTCAGTTTGCTAACTACTTCCACTATCTCTGATGTTGTAGTTTCTGGGTTTGGACTTCTGGGGGCCTTTTCTGGAGGTTTTGGGGGATTTTACGGAGGAGGGTTTGGGTTCAGGTTTCGTTCTCTGGTGTATTGTGGGTTGTTTCCCTTTAACTGTGATTTCATTGGATGATTCTTCAGAGGAATATTTCCTTGATTTCTCTGAAATAATTATTAGTCTGGTTATAATCTGGTAAAAACATGCATGAAAAAAAAACATGTTTCATGAATGCAAATTTGACAATGTACCACAGGAATCCGAAGCATTTTCAGTATATTCATTTTACCAGGATGAAAGTCTGAGCATATGATACTAAGAACATACCCACCTATGCAGAATATAAAACCAGGAATTCCTGACTTAATTGATGTACCAATGGTAATTCAACTAACCTGATTTTTCGGGATATCTTGGAGTGGTGAATGGGCTAGGGGTGGGGCGGTCTAGCATCCTCCATACCTCCTCCAATGATTCCCCGCCAGCGGAGGACATTGTAACTAATAACTGGTCCCTGTCCTCCAGATTTGAGTTCAATGACTGCTCCCTATCATCATAACTTCTGATGAGTGGTCCCTCTCTACTGAATCGTACAGGGCTAACAGGCCTATAACTGTCATTTAGAGTGTCCTGACTTTCTCGGACATACTGAACAGGCTGATCTCTGTTAGTTCCTAAAAATAATAAAAATTTTTATATAGTATGCATGTATGTGTATTTCTATACCTTTTCAAACATGTAAAATGTATGTGTTGCAAGTTGAAGGCCTTGCAACATGTTTTTCCTTCCTCATGTTTGCCCCCCTTTCAATGAAAGCAAAAATCAGAACGCATAAGTTTCAAATTATTGTAATAATAGTTTACAAGGAAACATAGAATAATTGAATTTTGAAAATGTAAATGGCCAGACTTTTTTCAGAAGGCTAGATTTTAATATACAGTGCATTAATTAATGTGGAAGGAGAGTTGTCCCCCTTTAATCTCATCTTTCATCGACAAAAATGTTTAAAATCTAGTTATAAAGACATACCAATATTAGAGGCCCTCTTCAGTATAGAGGGAGGTCTGTATTCCTGGTCAGACTCAGAGTTATTGCTGTTTCTATTCTGTGGCTCAGGGAACTTCTGTGCAAACTGAAGTTGCTGTAAGAAAAACAAGGCAATTCTTTTAAAAGCAGTGAATTTTCTGCAATCAAACTTTTGTTTCTGGACAATTCCTTATCAACGCATATCAGTATTATTATATATAAAAAAAATAACCTAATAATTTTTTGCAATCTTTTAACTTCATATAGCCTTTCCAATTCCTGTAAAGATCTGATATTTCTAAAGGATTGAAAACTTGGGATGTATACACAGTAAAACTCAGTTGTAAGGAAGTCACAAAGACTTTGGATTTGCCTCTTCTATTAAAGCAAGATTCTTTATATCTACATAAGGAATCTAGTGCAAAGTTTACCAATATCTGAGATTTCTTTTAAGCAAGTTCTAAATAACCTAGTTATACCAAATCTTCATCTGCTGCTAAGACTCTAAAACTTTATTGTCAATTTATTTTTGTACCTGTTTTGTGAGTTGATACTGCAGTTTCTCCAGTTGTGAGAGTTTACTGAGGAACTGTTGAGAGAGCTGTTGTGACATTTCATTATTGTTCACTTTCTGGATGGGGAACACAGGCTCAGGTCTGTCTTGTAGTGCGGCTGGTGGTTTAATCCCTAACATAAAACATGTAGAGTGTACTCCTCAAATTGGTTGATTTTAAATCAGATAAAATACTGTAAACCAACTTTTATTCGTGACAACTTTATTTCTTGATTTACTGGGGGTAAACTAGTTCACAACAATTAATTTTCGTGATCAAGCCTTTCTGGGTATGTTGTTAAAAGACATAGAAACTTTAAGGACCAGTTTGTGGTGAGAAATATTATCGATTACGAGGCTCTCGCATACCTCGTGAAAATTTCTTGCACGCGAATAAAAGTTGGTTTACAATAGTCAAAAATGCATACTTATCCCCCAGTGTAAATAACCACTTTTACACATTTCTACATACCCTCTTTGTTAAGCTCAGCTCGTAGCTTGTTCCCCATCTCTATAAGCTGCTGCCTCTCCTTAGCAAGCTGAGCTATGTGCTTGGCTGCTAACTTCAGCTTATTCTTTAATTCCTGTACTACTGCACTGTTGCCTGTTGTTGCACTTTCTGTTGTGGAGGCCTGAATAACTCCTTTTCTTAAATTCAGTATTTCATCTTGTAGCTGCTGAATGACCAATTCCTGCAAACACAATTGCACTAAGTATAATATAAAACCTTAAAAAATCTCATAATTTTTAATTTCCTTATATGTGTATCTTTTCTTGTTCTTGTTTCAAGTATTTCATAGCAGATTACCTGTGCACCAAAGTTTAACTCTGGTCTTTTTTCTGCAAGCTCTAATTTTAAATTTGATATCTGCAAAACAAAATGAAATAAAGTAAATACTGACAATTCAAGTATTCAGCAGAAATTAAAGTTTGAAATTCAAAGAGTTGAAGTTTGTGAAAAAAGTAATTTAATTAAATCCAAATTCTTCCGATGTAAGAAAGATTAGATTTTTTCAACCTGTTGCTGGAGTGATGTGACCTCCATGTTTCTTTCCAGAGTTGCTCTGTAGTATTCATCTGCCTCTTTCCGAGCCTCCACCAGTTGAATTTCCAGTTCTGCTACTCGCTGGTTAAGAGCTCCTATTTCTGATTGGTCCCGCCTCCTCTGAGCATTCAACTCGTATTTCAACTGGTCAATTTCAACCTGCTTCTGTCTTGGCTGTATCATTTCAATAAAAAAATGAGGATTAGAATATCATGAGATAATTTGTAAAAAAAAAATGCCTTTCTATCAAATAAAATTACCAGGATAAGCTAAGAGTAAAAGAACAAACCTCTTTGTTGAGTTTTTCTACCATGCCTTCTAAGTATTGCATTCTAGCCTGTTGTTTCTTCAACTGAGCTGTCATTTCAATTTTTTCAGATCTCATGGCACCTAAAATATATCCATATCAGAACTTTGAACAACATTATTACTTTTAAAGCTAGCTGTACATGTATATCCATATCAAGAGAAAAAGTGTGGATACATGCATTTCTATTCATGAAATAAAATGAATTTAGGCTGTCTTTAAAAAACTGTATGGTTGCCCTCTCCTGACTGATTAAAAAAGGCCCGACTACAAAATTTTTTTTAACATTCCATGACACAATATTTTTTTCTTTTTATCCCTCTTATCCCGTCAACAAATATGCTGAAATTTTCTGGAAAAAAAGGTTTTCCCATCAACCTACCAACCCAATACTTTTATTTGGAGTCAGGAGAGGGCAAGGTCACATTATTTTAAGACGACCTTAATGCAATAAAAATTGATTGCTTACCAATCTGATCATTCAGGGACTGTATGTGAGAGAGAACTGCTGAATTGTCCTTGACCTCTGCTAGTACTTCCTGTGTCTGTTCTGAGGTAGATGGAGCCACAGGTGGCACTCTGCCATACTTCCTGTACGTATCCAAATCATGCTCAAGTTCTCGGTTTCGCTTCCGAAGAGCTCTGGCTTCATTTTCTAGGCTCTGAACATATTCTGTCAAGAAATCCAAAAATGAAATGAAATTAAATGCATTACCGATAAAAGAATATGCATGTAAATCAAAAAAATTGCCTCATCATGGTTATACCTCCAGCTGTTGAAGATGGATCAGGGTTTTTTTCAGGAGAAGGTAACTCCTGTCCTAAAATCTCCATCTGGGTTCTCATCTCCTTGATGACAGATTTGAGATTCTCATTTTGATCCTTTAGAGACTCTATCTCCTCTGGATCTGCAAACTTCCACACTTTGTTTATATCCACCTACAACAGCATTTAAAAAATACTGAAATAAAATTTTTAATTCACAAAATAAGCCAAGATTGTTCTCCTCTCAGTAAAGACATTGAATCATTTTAAACATACAATTGTGGGCAGATTTGATTCAAAGCTGAATATTAGTGCATTGTTTTACAATTATACATTTCTAATATATGTGATTTATGAACTAAGATTTACATTGATGTTTTTATTGACTGGAATGCCGTGTTTCTTCAGTGTACCCAGTGCCTGTTCCCGTTCTCTGTGCAGTGCTCTGATCAGAGCTTCTCTCTGGAGAATATCTCTGTCCCGCTCTTTTACTGTGGCTAAAGCCTGTGTAATAAAAAAGAAAAAATTCTGAAATTCTATCACTGAAATCATATTTAATGCCTCAATATAGCTGTAAAGAGACAATTTTCGATAGAACCAGGCTGGTAAATCTCTTATAAAACATCCTTATGTATCTACATTGACTTACCTCATCCCTGCTCTTAGTGAGCTTCCTTCTAAGGTCCTCAGACTTCTAATAAAACATTCACTTTATATCTATTTGTACTTACTTTATCCCTCCTAATGATAAGAATCTTGATGAGGTCCTCAGACTATATGTGTTTACATGCACTTACTTCATCCCTGCTCTTGGTGAGTTTCTTGATGAGGTCCTCGGACTTCTCGTACTGATGGGACTCCTTCTCCTCGAGTCTCCTCTGCCAGTCGAGGTCCAACTGAGTCCTGCTCCTCTCCGAGGACCTCTCCCTCTCCACGGCCAGGGTCAGGTCCTTCTTATACCTTGTAGGAGGAGGATAAGGTAAGGTTGCTTATAAAGTTAATAGCAAAGTTAATTATAGAGCTCATAGGTGCATTATGTTACTGTACTCCTTATTCCTTACAGGTTAATGGTAAGGTAAGATTATTTATAGAGCTACATGTAATAGTTGCATTATGGCAAAGTACCCTAGATCTCTTTTGAAGATTTGTTTCTTACTCTGTGATGTAAAACTGAATAGAATTTAAGCAGAATATTACAATTTTAATTTATGTACAAAATAGTAGAGTTTAAAACAAGAACGTGTCTGAAAATATCTCTGCCATTAGTATTCCTCTAACTGATGAAAAAATACTTGGAGATAAAAAAATGTCAACAATTCAAGTGAGGTCATCAGGTGTCATACCTTAGTTTTTCATGTACATGTAGTTCAATTTACATGTACTCCACAAACTTATTTATCTTAACTTTACAATCAATGAAGATATTATAACCTACTAGTGCAGCCTAGTCTTATTATACCTCTCGATGTCTTGCTTCCTCTGTATGAGTTCTGCCTTTAGTTTCTCTTCGTTCTCTCTCAGTCGCTGTAGTTCCACATCCTTACTGACCTGGCTCCGAGAGGCGTCTACTATCTGTTTCTCCCACCTCTCCTTTTGCTGATACAGTTCCTCTTGTAACCTAAGAAAATATCAAAACTACATCATAAAATTTATTTTTATTTCAAATTAAACTTCAAAACATAAAGAAAGTAAAAAAGTTAATGACAACAGTTAGAGTAATTGGTTGTCCATTTATTAAAGAATGTGAGCAAGTAAGCATTTCATACTTTTGTTTTCAATGTTGCTCTACTTACTTTTCTATCTGTAGATCCTTTTCTTTTTCTAGATCCGCCTTGTTCCACTCCAGTTTCCTCATCTCCACCTGGCCGTCCTCCAGCTTTGCCTGCAGATCTCTGATGTTAGCCTGCAATGACTGCTCCCTCTCAATGTAACCCTCCTTAATCTTAGACAAGGCTGTCTCTTTCTCACGAGCTAATTTATCCAGTTCTGCATGTCTGAAAACAGATCATCATATTTTTATTGTACAATTTAAAGTTATGTACCAGAAAACTTCTGTGTAATGTTTATCAAAAATAAGGTTTTATATATTTGTCTTTGACTAACGCTACTTTGCTTTGGAAATCTTTTGGGGGGAATTTCTTTCAATCCTATTCATCAATGGTTTCTTTATAGTTGTCTCTACAGGCAATTAACTCGCTTGAAGTGCATTTTCAGAAATCTAACAAATAATTTTAATCAAATGAGTTTATCACTTGTAGAGACAATAATGGGTTGGGAGAATAAAATATACAAAAAATAATGAGCAGAGTTTTAATATTTAATTGCAGTTTTCTCCCCAAGAGTGAAAAAAATATTGCATACCTTTTTTGCATAAATCTGTGGTTATATATATAAAACCATAACGCTACAGATCTGAAGCTATGTTTATCAATAATAAGATATGTTCTTACTTTCTTTGGAAATCTTCTTTCATCCTATTCATCATGGTTTCTGTTTGCTGGGCTTGAATTTCTAACTCGGATATCCTACAACAATTTAAAACAAAAATTCAGTTTTAATGCAGTTTTGAAAAACATACTGTAAACGTGGTTACATTGACGAGTTGAAAAAATGACGATTTTTTGTTTCCAAAAATTGACGAGCGTTAATTTTGAAGAAATATTTAATCAAGAATTATATATCTTTGAATTCACGGGGATACAAAGGCAGCGTCGGAATCACTAAAATTTAATTTTTGTACAGACCATCTACAGTGTGTAAGATTGTACAAACTATCTAAGTGTGTAAGATTTGATTTTAAAAACAAATTGCCCTCTTGTAATTTGTTTTCATTACAAGCGGTGAATTGCCTGAGGTGACAAACTAGGTCAAACATGGCATCATACCTGTCAACTCTCCCGAATTTATCGGGAGTCTACTGATTTTTAACCATCCCTACCGACTGTCTACCGAATTTTTTTTAAACTGCCGTTTCTACCGATTTTGAAAAAATCTGGATTTTTTACCTACTTTGGTTCGTAAAATACCGACTAGTCAACACAAAAATGGAGGTCATGCAGTGTTTATCGGTAGCTAATCTGTTTATTGCCACTGATAACAGGTAATCAACAAGGTGTCAACTGTACTAGCAGATGTAATTACAGTTGTAATTGCTCCTTATTCTCATTAAAAGTGTATATTATAAAAGACCGAGATGCCAGATGTGAACATTTTTACAGAACATGACGGTAAATAACGATATGGAAGTACTTGATACTTTGCTGCAAATAAGTTTACAAGTGCCTAAGACAAAACTATTTCTCCATAAACAATACAGTGATCAGGAAAAATGTAACAACAGTACTCTATTATCAATTTAACAAGGAGAGGGAAACAATTTCATGGAAGCTAATATAAATGAAGAGTGAAGATTTCCCCACAGATTTTGAGATTCAATGTCTTAGTAAATCCTGCAGGAACATCAGCATATAACAGCCCCTGAAACTACAGAGCAACAAGACAGTGTCTTTAGAAGACTTCTTTAAATTTACAAAGCTAAACAGGGTAATACATTTCTAAATTAAAATTAGCACATTAGAACATTACAAAATAAAGTATTATATTTCAAAATTCAGATGATATATGTTAAGAGATTGAAAGAAAAAATACAAGGTCCATGTATTTCATTCATACTAGATTACACATTATTTTAAGAATATAAACATGAAGTTTTGACAATTATTTCAATTTCAGATATTTAAATCCAGGACACAACTCATGTTCCTTAGACTTAGTGAGAAAAATCCATTCATGCATCTATTAAAAGCTGGAAACTTAGACTGTCTGCAGAATCTTGTTAATTTTTCTAATTGCCAAATTAAACTACAACATTTGCCATGAATATTAAATAAATGATGCTCTTATGGACAGGCAGAATAGCTAGATAGTGAACATAAATTTTTATAATTTCAAAATTAAATCACAGTGTACAAGTTTCTATAGTAAATTTTATGAATTAATGATAATGTTTATATTATAATAAAGTTTTATCTTGTAAGTTGTTTATTTTTGTTCTATAGAACAATGAAATGCGCGACTTTTTGTATTTGCAAAAGGTCGTCGCACCATTTTCTCCCCCGAAAAATTTTGGCCATGTTGACAGGTATGACATGGCGTGATAATTATGCTAAGTTACGTGTGCAGTATTTGATACACTAGTTTAGATTCAATGGTTTTAAAAATGTGATTATATACTAAAAACACTGTGTTTTCATAACTAATTACAAAAGAAATTAACAGTAACTTTGATCTAGTTTAAATAGGGGAAAGCCGAGAAAATAAAGTGGTTATTGTCTGGCGTATAATGGTCAATGTCTGTTGTGACTCTATATATATGATGCAAAGTTTGACGAGTATATATTTTGATGAGAAACAAAAAATTGTCAATATAGTCAAAATTAGCATACCATCAAAATTTCCACATTTACAATATAATATGTGCTCGTAACTATTCCATACTTAAGTTCAATAAACCTAGAAGTCTCTTACTGTTTATAATCTGTTAGTATAAATGAAATCCCCCTCCCCTAATAGAAGTACCAGTGAATGTACTAATATAAGTATGTACCTAGCATCTTTCATTGAGGTGGTGTCCGCGAGCTCCCATTCCTTCTCCTTGAGTTTTTTCTCTAGCTCTCTGTGGCTGTGTTCTACATCACTTAATTGTTCGCTCTCCTTAACCTGGCTGGTTTTCACGATCTCTAATTCTTTTGCCAAAAGTTTTGCCTGTAATACAATACAGTGATCATTCTTATAATAAAAGTTTTCTTCAATGATGTGAATTATGTTTTATTCTTATCCACATTAAACATTATTTGATAAGCCTACAAACGTCAAAGTTTGTTTAAAAAAATAATTCAAATTCCAGTAAACTACCTTTAATTCATACTCAAGGACTTTAGCACTCATTTCATCTTTCTGTAGCCTGAACTCATGCTCTCTCTTCTTCACAGCATCTTCAAAACCTAAGAAAATCAACAGACCAACAGTTAATATTTATAAGCATATAATATCATGATCAGAAACGATTTAGTCATGTGAATATTTGAAATGGAATATTTATTTTTCAACAGAAAAGAAGACCAAGGGAAAAAACTTGATCAACCATCAAAGATTTATTCTTTTCCTTTGTGTTTACTTTGACTTACTAAATGCTATTCGTCCATAAATTCTTTTTATCTTTTTATATTTTTCATTTTGTTCTTTTTCTTTGTACTTTGACTTGCTTATTTTCGATCATCATGGGATTTTTTTTTTGTATTTTTGGTTTATTTTTCCCCCGACTTACTAATTGTCAGTTCTCTTTTCTGTGTATCCAAGTCATCCTCCACCTGTTTTAACTGATGTTGTAAGTTTCTCTTAAAAGTTTCAAACTCCTTTCTCTCTTTATGAATTTCTGAATCCTTACAGCTGCAAAAAAATAAAATTTAGAAAATAAAGATAATTTTCAAAAAAAATGTTCAGATTTAACAAAGCCTTTTCAAATTTTATGAACAAGAGGGACTTGGCAAACACCTGAGAGTATACAAATACCTTGACTTATTCATTAGTTATTCTTTCGTCATATACAAGTTTTCCAACCTTCTTTGTGACAAACTTGCAGCACAAGCAGGTCATAGCTAAATTATCTGTTGAGTATGATCCTTTAATGTTCTTCAATTACCAAGTTATGTTTCATGGAGTCAAAGCTAGCAAGAACCCTGGAGACATGAATTTCACTATTGCTGGAAGAGGGGCCATTGCTCATTTTAATCAAGGAAACATTTTGACTGCTACAAGATCTAGTGTATAAAAAAATTTTAAAGACTGTATTGATTTGGAGATCCAGACCATAATATTGGGCCCAGGGATAAGGAAACATTATATTGGGTGTTTTTCTTAAAATAAAATATGTTTCCCTCAACAGAAAGACAAAATTCCATCAAGTAAACCTGAAAATCAGTAAAGATTGCTTCAGCAGTTCCAGAGTCAGGATTAGGCAGCAAAAAAGACAACAATTCAGTTAGAGAGGTAAAATAAAGGAATTTCTATACCTAAAACATGTAAGATGCTGATTTTAATGGGTCTTTATGCCTGTCTAATAGAATACAGTACCTTTTAAAAGAGTCAATTTCTGCTTGCTTCTCTTTAAGCCTATGTTGATAGTGTTTTTGGAGATCTTCTTGTGCAAGAATTTCTCTGTTTACCGTAGACTTGGTATCATCTAACTGGATTTTTAGTTCACTAATCTCTGCAGTTTTCAGATTCAGCTGTGCTTTTACTTCTTTATATAAACATGCAATGAAAACATAATAATTAAATCATCAGAAATAAACATAAAATCTGTCAGTTTTTCTTCTTCTTTTTTTTTTTGGTTGCTTCAATAACACTGTTTATTAAATAAAAAGTTTAATTTTACCAGTAAATGTGACATCATATCTTTCTAATTCTTGGTCTCTTTCCTCCAGAACTTTGAGGTTGTACTTAAAATCCTCTTTAAGTTTAGAAAATTTTGCTCTTTCCTCTTGCAGCTCTTTTTCTTTCCCATTCAATGCTTCTTCCAAAGTTTGAATCCTGATTTTAAAATGAGAACGTAATGTATGTTCTTATTATTGAATAATCATAAATGAGACTGCATGATCAATTTTTCAGATAACATTACCTATAACAAAAGGGATGTTCAGTTTTATACGCAGTAAGTAAGCTAACGTTGGTAACTGCAACTGTAGGTAAATGTAAAGTGTAATAGTACAGGCCAAAATGCAATCAATATAGAAAAAAATTGCCAGTATAGGATAAAGTTATACCTTAACTCTGTAACTTCTTTCCATTCTCTCTCTTTTTGAGCAGCTAATTCCTTCCAGTTACCTTGTGTGTCCATTTCCTTTTATTTTCATCTGAAAAAGGATCTTGAATCTGAAAAACAATTTCATACCTTATATACCAATACTTAGGTCTTGTAATATAGTCTTAATTTCGGTGCCGGACAACTCACCGACAGACAGCTGACCAACAAAAGTGAAAGTCACCAACGCGTGCAAATTCACCGAAAGGACAATTCACCGACAATATTGTCGGTGAGTAGAAATTCACCGACAATGGTTTTTACATGTTCAGATAATTAAAGTTATATAAAAAGCGATGTTTTCTGTGTTATTTTTTATTCACCATGGCAAGCCCAGGGTCTTCTGACCATAATGAAAGACCAAAATACGAATTTATAAAATATTATGGGTGAAGTGTGCGATTTGATGAAAAAATGTTGAAAGGACAAAGGATTCCTTTATTCCGTACTTAGAGGGGTTGGCACACAACTTCAATTATCAAATTTAATATGTAAAAAAAAATGAATAAAGAAACGTACATTCACATACTTGATTTTTTCTTAATTTTATAAATGATGTCGATGAGTGTCGGTGTATCATATTCTGTCCATGACTTGTCTGTCGGTGACCTGTCTTTCGATGAGTTGTCGTATCGGCGACTTTTATAGTGTCGGTGAAAAAAATGTCGGCGAGTTGTCGTTCGGTGAGTTGTCTGTCGGTCACCTGTCATAGACCCCTTAATTTAATTTGAAAACTTTTTTTTTTTTTACTTTAACAGAACAATATAATATTTCTTAAAGCATGATAATTTTAAAATACTATAAAATACCTTGAAAAATGAATATTTCATTTTTCAATGATTTTTTTCCTCTAAAATGGATACAGTTTCGCTGCTATTAATGTAGAGTGGTGCAGTCACAACCAAAATTTAAAAATAATGAACTTTTGAATTATTTGAACAGTGCTGATCAATGTTGGCTAAGATTGTTCATGTTAGGGCCTGTCAAGTTCATACATTATCTCAGCCTCTTCTGTTTTCAACTAAAATTTATGCCAAAATATTGTTTATTTCACATGCAATTACCATAGTGTTGTTATTTACCTGAAAAAAGATTCAATACATGTACTTTTTAAGCTTGCATTCCGCTTCTTTTTCTGCAAATCACCTGTCAAAATCGAAAAATTGTTATTGTTGGCTTTTGGTTGTCGCAAACCCCTTTTCATTATCCCTTTTCATTCATTTTTTGAAGATTTGATTAGTTAATCATTCAAACTGTAAATATTAACCACCAAAATTATCATTTTTCTTACTATTTCTATTAGTTAGTGAATAATACATTAAAATTTGTCTCATGATTTAAAAAGTAACTATGTCGTAATCGTAAACTTCCGGTGCGGTTGAGCACATTGTCAATCATAGACATAGGCCCAACCATCATATGTGGACTTTAAAGATTGAATCCAGAACAGACAGGTGCTGATATTTTGTTGAAATTTGTACTTCAGTTGCACATTGTACAAAAAATGCACTTTTTTTACATTAATGGAAAAAATTCTGCGTTGTATCTTATTTTTATCATTCAAACAGCTGTCTTATTGCAAGCACATTTGGGGGGGGGGGGGGGGGTGTTAATATCCCTAATGGGATATAAATTTACAGTGTAAAATATGAAATAAGAATGCCCTATTGTTTACCTGTTCAGAATATATAATAATTGGTATTCAGAATATCCATTAACTTATTAAGTATTGAGTAATGATTTTTGATGATGCTACATTGAACATTCCAATCAACATGTCTTTGCCTTAATTTGAACTACTTTGGAAAACAGCTTGGATTTTTAATTAAAACCTTTAGATATTTACAGCATTGTTAAATCAGTAATCTATTTAGAACTGGTAAAACAATATCTATAAATATCGTAAATCTGTATAAGCTAGAAAATGTGATATGCAAATTTAATGGTTTAATGGGCCATGGATATCAGCTTGGGTAGCTCAGTCGCTAGAGCACTTGACTAGAGATGCAGGGGTCCTGGGTTAGATTTCCGGTCCAGCCATACATTTTCTCCTTTCCTGTTACACAACACATTTTTTTGTAGTTGTTTTTTTGTATCCTTTCTATACACATTGCAGATTGGTCCCTCAAAAGATACTAAACTTCTTGGAGATTGATCTGACAAATTTAACAGTTATAGAATAACTGGAGTACCAGTTGTTGTTGCATTCAGTGTATATTAATATGGATTTACAGTATTTATGGCCAGAAATCTCAAGTTTTTGCTCCATAAATTTATAACCCATTGTATCTCAAAAGGGTTATCGCATTTGGGTGATTGATCCCAACCTGTAAAAATAAAATGTGTTATGATTTTGATTATGTGTTGCAATTTATGTACTAGGCTAAGCTTATTATTTGCAATTGAAGGATAAAAATAGCATTGTGCCCCAAAATACTACTGTTCAATTATTATTGAGTGATTGTTTTAAATGTTTTTTTAGAAGAAGAAAAAAAAATATATAGTTATGCTCAAAATAGTAATAGGATCCAGTCTTCATTTCTAGAGAAGACTCTACCCATTTAAATGCCTTGGATTATTTCTGGCACTTTTATTACCAAAGTCTGTACTCATTCATTTATCCTAGATTAGCTGACAGAAATTTATTTTAAACAAATTAGTGTCATTTGATTCCTTTGAGGCTTTGACAATCAAAAATATAAATGACTTTAAGGACTTTGAGTGGTCATGAATACCCGGTATTTACCGATATTTGTCCCACGAAGACTCTGACATTATACTTTTGCCTTGAAACATGTTCATCTATTTTTCAGATATGGCAGATGCATCAGAAAATGAGAACTACAGTGAGAGAGTGATTGGAGGGGTTCTAGATTTATCCTCAGAAGATCTTGTCACTCTCCCTCCTCAAATTGTAAATGGAATCGGGCCAGATATTACTAAACTACAGTTGGATTTTAATGATATTAAAGAGTTGCCAGCCTCTTTTGGAGAGGTTTGTGTGAATCTCCAAGTGCTTTCATTGGTTGGGAACCAACTGAAGGAGTTTCCTCAAAGCATAGGGAATCTGTCTCAGTTACAGGAGTTACTTGTGAATGAAAATGAACTCCGGAATCTCCCAGACTCAATCTGCAAATTGTGTCACTTAGAAGTATTGAAATTGACAGCCAACCAAATTCAAATGCTTCCCAATGACCTTGGTGAAATTTGTAGCCTAAAAACCTTTTACTGTGATGAAAATAAGTTGACAAAATTGCCATTAACTTTGGGATTGTTCACCAATCTTGAGATTTTGGAGCTGAGCGATAATTCCCTTGTTGTTATTCAGGAGGGCATTGGTCAGTTAAGATCTCTAAAGATATTCAATGTGTCAAATAACAAACTGGAAAAGATTGACAATAGTTTAGGAGATCTTGAAAATTTGGAGATTGTGGATATTTCAGGAAATCATTTGGAAAGCTTACCAGATCATTTTCATTCTGTGAAATGTGTTCAAAAATTTTATGCTGATCAGAATCGACTGGCAGACATTCCACTATGGGTGGCGGACATGAGCGAGGCTTTGGAAATCTCTATGAGTGACAACCAGTTTTCAAAATGTGCCATAAATGAGAAAATGGGATGTACCTGTACCAAATTAACTTTGTTGGACATCGGAGGAAATTTCATGGATCAGTTACCAGATACTTTCGGAAGCATGAAGAATATAGAGACACTGAGACTTGGAAGTTGTATTGGGGAACTAGAAAGGAGAGCTTTTCAAAATGGCAACTGGTTGACTTATCTTCCAAGGAGTTTTTGTGAATTGACAAAAGTAACTGTTCTGTATTTGGATGAAAACTTGCTCCAAGAACTGCCTGATGATTTTGGAAATCTTGTAAATCTGGAATTTATCGATTTAGGTAAGGATAGCCTATTTGGTTCAATGGATTTTGATGACAGTTTTTTAGGGCAACTGAGTCACCTTTTGCTGCTCTCATCAGTTGTTTTGGGAACTGTGTTGTCTATAAACTTTTAATTTGTTTTTAGGTCACCTAAGTCACTCAGGTGACCTGTTTGTATCTTTTTTTCATCCATCATAACATCTCATTCATCAGTCATAAATGAGGAGACAGGAACCATGAGAATTAAAATTTTTGTAACCATTCTCCCACTGAAACTATATGCCAAAATGGGTTAAAATTGATTTACTGGTTCAAGAGAATATGTAAAATTTTTCATATATTTTCAGTAAACAATGTGATAAAAAATATGTAAAACCTGGTTCAAATACATAATATGATGCTGAAAATTCTAAAATAACTGTTTCTTTTTAATATTTTAGAAAATTTTTGAATAACAGGGCAAACATTTTCCATTAGAAGTACAATAAAGAAATATACTGAATGAAGATACATTAGAAGGAGTTATTGCCCTTAGGAAAATTTTTTGAAAGATTAAATAATTGATTAAATAAAGAAAACATTCAAGTTATAAATTCTTTTACTATTCACTATATTATTTTTACACCTATTGAAAGGTAATTGTCAAAAAGATATATTTCTACTAGGTATGTATGTAAGATTTTTGCCAAAATATATGACATTGCAAGAGGATGGAATCCTCAAGGAGTAGATAGAGCAAAAAGTGGTGCAGAATATTCCCAATACTGTGAATTTTATTGAATTATAGAATTTATAAATATCTGAGTTTTAAACAGATATTTTTATGACAAAGTGCAATGTAATATCTATCCAAAATTTGCTCTGGAAGGGCAGTGGCCAGGCTTACAAATCTTAAGTGCTTATCCTTAGTTCATGTCACATATTGTCTTCAGCTAAAAACATTCAGAACTAAATAATTAAAAGTTTAGACACTGAATTCTAATTGCTGTTTATGTGGGTTTTTGTTTAATGATGTGCAATTCACTGTTGATTTATCATCATTTAGTGAATTTTCAACACCCCTATAGTTTTGCCTACAAATAAGATAATACATTGCAGGTCAGAATGCACTGCATGAGCTGCCAGAATCCTTCTGTAAGCTGAAGTCCTTGAAAGTCTGCCAACTATCAAAGAACAAAATTCAGATTCTACCCTCAGCATTTGGAGACCTTTCTGCACTACAGGATCTTCGTCTGGATAACAACTTGGTAACAAAAAATCAATGAAAAAATAAATAATGAAACAACTTATGATCAATGAAATAAAAAAGTTTTAGGTAAACATGGTTAATGATTAATCTGGAAAATTTTTTACTTCAAAAAATTACCTTAAAAAGATCTCTGCCTTTTTGTTGAATGTTAATATATACTTATAACTTGGTATTATTTTCTAACCATCATTTTTTTTTTGCTTTGATTTTTAGCTTGAGGAACTACCAGAGTCTTTGAACAAGTTGACAGGTCTGAAGTCATTGGATTTGTTCAACAACAAGTTAACAGAAATTCCAGAGGCTTTAGGTTACTTCAAACAATTGGTGCGACTAGATTTATCAGAGGTGATTGTTTTTCTTCTTAAAGAAATGAAGATTAATAGATATAATCTTCGTATCTATATGTAATAAATCATTGATTTGTGTAGATTTTTATCTTGACAAAAATGATTTACACTGATAAAGCTTCTTGAAGTGATACGATTCCTTGTCAAATGATAACACCAATGCTTTTATCCATTCACTAATGCAATGATAGTTTGGAATAAGAGGGGACAAAATTTTATGATTTCCTTTCCATATCATTCCAATTTACATAAATTAGCATAATTTATTTATTTTGATGTCACGGAAAGGTTAAGGATCTCCTGTCACCCCAATCATTAAGAAGATTTAATGTGATAATTATGTGTAACAACTATAAATAACTCGGACATATCTAGGTGTTAATGTATCTATGTTTTAAGGTTTCTAAGTTTTAAGGTTTAGTATCACCCTCTATTAAAATTGTGAAAAATAGGAATAATAGATTCATACATGTATCCGATAAGAGTTATCTGTCTTATCAGAGGACCAGTGAACCTTAACAATGTTAGGACAACTTTAATTTAATGTATACCTATTCACATATAAATACTATGATTATCAATCTTGACTCCCAATTCCATATTTGGGTAATTCTTGCATTTTCTCTGTGTGTAATGTCTTTCCATGACACAAATTGTTAAAAATATTTATATATGATTTCCAGCTTCCCATAACATTTTGAGCAGGCTATTGTGATAATACTAAATATGTATTCCTGAGATGTTTGAAGTGTACATAAATAGCCAAAAAAGTTCCAAATGATAAAGAAACTCAAGAACATTATTGATTTAGATTGACTCTTTTATTGATGTCGCCCGCGTGGCCCAGTTGTTAGAGCGTCTGCTCTAGAATCATAAAATTTCCTCGGGTAATTTTAAAAGACGTGGAGACATCATTAGATATTCCCATGTCGCAGTAGGTGCTGGCACGAAAAAGATCTCTCACTACTCAATGACCCTGAGTGCCGAGTATAGGACAAAAATTTGTAGCTCTCCACCAGCAAGAGGTGGCGTCTGTATATGAGTGAAAAATTCTCGAGAGGGACATTAAACAACATACAATCAATCTTTCTATTGGTTTTAAGTTTTAAAATATGAATATGTTTATGTTCATTGAAGTCCGCCAGTTCAATTTTTTTTTTTTTGTATTCCAGAATTGCTTCAACATTCCTTGGTACGATGTGCCACAGATTGTCAGACAATCACACTACCCACCACGTAATCCAGACCTGAAAAATAACTGGCGAGGCCGTGCTAGACAAGATCTGTCCATGATGGAGAACAAAATCATCAAGGTACTGAAAAGCCTGTCACACAATCCTTTTTCAATTTTCAGAAATTGTATCTGTTGATACAGACCTGCTTGTGAACCTGTGTAGTGCAAGTTAATGATTATTCCACCCATTGAACACTCAGTGATTGTGCTAAATTTTGAATATGCCAATTTATTTATGCGTACACATATTTCTACATCTATAGATGAAGCATTTTAGATTTTAATTGACTCTGGATCTGTTGAATGAATATTTGTTATCTGACAGATGGATGTGACAACAGAAGAGTTGGACTTTGAGCCTCCACCTAAGGACCTTGGATTCAGTGAGAACCTCCTGCGTGATGCTGTGGAGCACGGAATGTCCTTCTGGAGATCACATGAAGGGAAAGGAAGAAGACAAAAGTTTGTCCGCAGGGATGATTTCAACTTCCTTCAGGTCGGAAAAAAGAGATACCCCCAGGAAGAAGAGGATGAGGAGGAGGAAGATGACACTGAAGAGGAGAGTGAAGAAGAAGATGACTACGAGCCTCCTATATTTCACCCAAAAGGAAATGGTGAGTCCTATACATTTTACTATAATCAGTAGAGTTTTGCCGTCTAGGTCAACAATAAAAAATGATTTATTTGATGTGCTCCGACCGACCCATCAAAATTGCCCCTACCCAATCATTTTTTCAGCACTTTGACTTTTTATTTTTTTTTCATTAATTTCCATAGAAATAGAAATTTTCATTTTAAAGCTTAGGTATACATGTATAATTTATCTCTATATGATGCTTTCAAATTAAAGTTTTTATAGCAGTAAAAATAAAGTTTGTATAGCTATCAATTAAGGAATGTTTTTAAGTCTTGCTTGAGTTATTGGTGTGTGAATCACACAGACTTGTCACGTAGGCATATTTCATGAAGCGGGCTAGTGCTTCATGAAAAATATGCCTACGTGCAGGTCTGTGTGTTATATTATATTATATTATACTATATTGTTATACTTTTACTAATGTCGCTGTAGCCCTATTGTGAAAGATTTCTACACTTGAGTACACACGAAAATGATTTCAAATCAATTTCACAGTTGGCTTAGTAGAAAAACACAGCGAATGTAAATATTGTGTAATGAAAACATCAATAAATTATTGAGTCTTCAATTTCTATGAAAGTTTTCAATTTGTTTAATACTTCTAGGCAAAAAAAAACCACTACCTACCTACCTACCCACGTTGAAAAATGTGGGTCAGAGTACATCAAACAAAAATATTTTTAATGATGACCTTAGATAAATTTTTGATGAGCTAAATATTACATTGAGATTTATGAAGTCTCAAAGTAATTTTTATTTTAAAAACCTCTATACAGGAAAATGTTGTCTGTACTTTGAAAAACAAAGTGATAAAATGCTTCAATCTACTGTAATATCACTTATTGTGGAGGAAGCAAATGTTGAGAAAAAATTACTGATTATTGATAAGTGTGGATTTGATTTCATGGTTGGAGAAGTGTTGAGTAGTAATGCATGTTAAATTTTATATCTCGTGATGGACATGAATTCGTGGGTCTCTCCATACCTTGAAAACAACGAACTTTAAACCCCCATGAAAATTAGTGATTTCACAATACATGTATTTGATTATACATGTTTTTTTAGTCTGCAGTCCGGTGTCTAGTAACATGATGGATGAGGGATATAGAGCTGTTACCGAGGCGACACAGGAAGAAGAGAACTGGGACGATGAGTTGGAAGATGTAGATGATCCTTTTGACATTCAGTATGGCAAGTCTGAAAATTATAAAGTACATTTTTAAAGTCATTGATTAAACGTGTGAGGCTGTGTAACTGTTTAGGCCCAAATGTAAGTCAAACCAGTTTCTGTACAATTGTGCTCTTCTAGTAATTTGCAAAATCTGTAAATTTTAATCTGATTGTTATTTTTCTTTTTGTTTCAGATGACAATTACTTTAATAATATCTACCAGCACCCCAGACCAAAGACACTGGCCGAGGCAGGATATGTTGTAGATGACCATTTGTGTCTTCCCTATGATATACATGTTCAACCAGTGGCTAAAGATAGGACAGAACATCAGGTGGAGGCGGGGCAATTTGATGATGACTCGGAGGAAGATGTCACGTGACCAAGAAAAGAGATCACATTATAATGACTCAGGGGAAAACCCAGAAAAGAGTTTACATGACTCTGAGAAAGAACGTGACATGACTTTGGAAGATGTCACATGATGTAGATGTCATAATGCAGAGCGATTACTATTGAAAACTGCATAACCTAGGGAATTTTTTCAATGCCCATAAATGCTGAGAAGTGAATATTATTTTAGTGTAATATAGCCAAAGGACAGAAAGATGTTTTAATTTGATTATCATTGGCATTAATGTGGGATGTCCCCCTTTGAGGAGAAATCAGTCTGTATTTTGGTGACTATTCTAAAAGAGTTTTAGATAATGTACCAGGTTGCCTAAAGGAGAAGATTATTTTAATTGGCATTTCAGATTCATCATTGTAAATGAAAATGGTATTTTTGATATTATGAAGCATCTTTAATTAAAGTAGGCTTTACCACTCTGAAAAGTTTTACTATGCAACGTTTTGTCAAGGGAATTTAGAAGCATCCTTGAAGTTAGATTTTCCCTCTCAAAAGTTACACTAAATCTTTCATTATTTTTTTCATTTGGGTGTAGAAAGCTGTTCATTGTTATGTTCTCTTTCATTATATTTTTATCTATGGCATTACATTGATAAAATGGCTGGGCTCCAAAAATTTGATTATTATTGCATAATATCCTTTAAAATGTGAATAGCTTTATATCAATATCCTTGATTTTGTACTTCTGGGCATAGCATCTTAAATCAGTTTAGATTCTGTTTAAATTTATGATGTTTAATTAGCGTGGATTTTTTTTTATTCTTACTGCTAATCATTTTTCATGATCCTGAAAATTTATGAATTTTAATTCCATTTTTAATTTAATATTATACCTTTAATTTACAAAATGGAAAATTGGCAAAGTAGCCAAAAATAGAAATAAAAATAAATAAATACCAGTCCTTTCGTAAATCACATTTTTTGAAAAATAACTTTTTTAAATGCTGAAAAATGTGGGCATTTTTGTGGAGATTTAATTAATACATGTATATATGAGGCTTGATTTATATGTAATCTGTTGGAATACAGATGCTGCATTTCTTATTGAACAGATTTGTATAATATGAACATGTACTTGATTTTATGTTGTAATTTATTTGTCTGATTAAAATCAATTGATTTTTATACTTTAAAAAATCATGACAATTGTACATGTATCATTAATTAATTTTTTCCTCCTCCGTGACATGACCTGCATTGTATCACAAAGCAGAACATTTTTCATTCCATCTCCCAGTTTGATCAAAAGTTCACCTAATGTGTTTTACGAATTTTTTAAATCATGTTTTCATCTGTACTCCAGTTAAATGAAAAAATGGCATTTAATTTAGATTTTGATCAATAAATTTCAAAGGATATGTGTTTCGTTTCACATCACTGAATTTATGAGTTTATAGTGGTGAAAAAAATCGAAAGTGCATGAAAATATTTTTAAAAAGTAGACTAGTCACGAAATTGTTGGCTATTATGGACCAAATTATGAATGATTTCAATTTCCTGCACTTAGAAAAAATGTTTTATGGCGTACCCATATATGTCTTGAGATGAGTATACAAGCTAGGCTAATGCCTACAAGGGCACTATCTTTCAGCCACATAGTATCGGGAGGGGGGGACTTTTGAATATTGAAAATGGTTTATTTTGAAAAGCTGTTTGCCCCCTCCCTCTACTTTTTGTTGTAACATTTTAGTCATGGTGATTTTGTAATTTTTTTTTAAAGTAAGTTGAAATTTCTTTGTTCTCCCCTTTCAAAAACGATGCGTTCCTCTTTCAAATGCAGGCTGGCCCCTGTACATGTATCTCTATTTACCTTTAACAAAAACAGCCCATTGTCACTTAATCAGACCCCCCTCTCTCTCTCTCAATTGTGTAAGATTTACGATGTAGTAAACTTTGCAAGAGCGATTTGCTTGCATTTGTAAAAAGCTAGGATCAGTGCCACAAGCGTTTATTTTGTACTTTAACACGAATTCTTATTACAAAACTATTAATTTTTATGATAATAAATTATTCATATTTTGACAACTCGGATACTATTCCAAATCTTCATCACAATGTGCAAACGTATGCACTTTTCCCCTGAAAAGCAAGAACCACGTGTTGCAAAAACGCGGCAAACCACACGTCTTCTGCAAACTGGGATGGACGCCAGCATGCTGCACAAGATGTCCCAAGGTACTAGTAATTTTAAAATGAAAGTTGAAATGAAACACAGGGCATATTAAATTCCTAAGAAGAACATATATATCAGAAATCTCTTTTGAATATATTGCGTTATGACGTTTTGCCGGGAAAACATCATAATGACAAAAAGAAAATGTAGCCCCCCTGCACTGTAGCACAGGCTGTAAATTCCGCTTACCACACTATAATGAGCCTTGAGAATTTTTTTAACAATGTGAAAATGCAACTAGGTAATTATTGAGGGGGAAAAAATCGCCTCCAAGGTTGCTAACAGCACAGCAATACTATTTATAGCTCAATTACTGTGTGTTGCAGCGAAAAATTTTCAGCACATCCCGGCTGAAGCTTGGTTGCCAATAGATTTTTCTCTACCCCCATCTTGGACCTCGCACTTCATGATGCAAGAAAAAGAAAAGTTCTCCATTTTCAAGGTAATTTTTTAATGTTTCTTTTCCCAATTTGAGCCTCTTAAAAGTTCACATGAAATGTGATAAGTAGTCTGCTCTCAGGTATTGCAGGACAATTTGCATTTTTGTAAGGAAATAATTTATGATCTAGAATTACGGTATGGTATAAGATATAACGACCTACTTCCATATCATTATGGGGACTTTTTTGCACCACTTGGTGTGGGATAAGCAGTTATACAGTGAGTCATCTAAGGTGGTCTAGATTTGAAAAATAGCAGACAATTTTTTTTTTCTGCTAAAGGCTGGAAATTTAAAACCTCCAATTAAACTGATAACGGTTACTGCACCGATCATAAAATGGAATAAAAGCCACTTGATGCACTTTATTTGCACTGTGGAATTGTGTGACATATTTTTGCATCTACGTGAACAGCTTAGTCTGTCTAGACAAATTTGTCAGTTAATTTTGGAAACTAGGTGAATTACCACATGAAATTTACGAAATGTGTGTATGTTTTCTTTCAGGGTTTTGACATCCCTGATCAATCGCAGAATTATTTGGAGTTTTCATTGCCGGATTCCATTAGTGACAATTACAACTCCACGAAAACTGACCCAAATTCAGCCACTGTCCCTGCTTCAGCTAAACGGCCTAGTTCCAAGAACCGCCTAGGACAGACCAGGAAGAAACGGAAGGCTCGGAGATTTAATATTAATACTCGCTCTGTCGACTCAGGAAAATCAATGAGACAGAAGCCTAAGTCAGATGAATTCAGACAGCAGAGAGACTTCCGGAGACCGTTTATGTACAGGAGATTAAAATTACAGAAAATGGTAACAAAAATTCAATCAATATTTAGAGAGATAATATAGCTTTTGTTCTAGTCTGTATTTCAATTATATTAGTGCTTTTGGAAATTATGGAAAAGCATTGCTTTCAGAGTGTGAACAATATTAATTAAAAAATTGTATATGGGAAATAATAGTAAACCCATATGATTTTTATTTTAACATTAGAATTTGTTACATTCTGAGAGCAAGTACTTGTGAAAAAGAGAAAATGTGCTGTATTTTATCAAGGCCTTGTAGATTAAAAATTTTAAATGCTTGCAAAACATATCCTATTTCTGTTGAAAAATGTTAACTTAGATGTAATAATGAGAACAAATTTACATTGTTCGTGCCCATACAGGGCTTTTTGGGGAGAGACCCTGCTTAAATTTGTAAACTTTTAACCCATCCAGAGATCAGTTTTTGCTCCAGTGATTCAATAAGGTCTATGAACTCTGTTTGAAGTGCAAATAAATTAATAGAAAAAACATGATAATATGAGTATGTCATTAGCATAAAAATTCTACGTCTTGAAAATGTTCTGAATATTGATGTATCTTGAAGGAATATGTACATTGTATAATGATTGATACTAATATTTGATTTTTAATGAAAAATTAGTGAAATCAATTATAATTTACAGTTTAACTCTGATATCTCAAACACTGATATCTTGAATACCATGGATATTTCAAAGTGGTTTGGAAGTCCCAACTGCTTATTCATTAAATATTTTATATTGGATTTCTCCAATCCTTGGATATCTTATAATGAAGTATTTTATTGGTATACCATTTGAGATAATGAGATTTGACTGTATTCTTATTTTGACAGAAGTTGAAGACCACACTGACCAATAAAAACCTGCAGTGTCACATCTCATGCACCACTTCTCTGTACAGTGTTGTCAGGCGATCCAAGGGTCACGAGTCTGAGCCACAGAAAAAAGAGGGACCTAAAGGTCATGGGTCAGACCCACAGAAGAAAGTACCTAAGAGTCGTAAGTCTGGCTCGCAGAAGAAAGAGGAAGCTAGAGTTCATGAAACTGCTGCGCCGAATAAAGAGAGACGCAGGGAACCTAAGCCTGATTCTGGGCAAAAACAGGGGTTGTCCAATGAATGTGTCAACTCCTCAAAAGTTTCAGTAGAGAAAGGTAGCTCATCTCAAATTAAAAAGGGATGTTTTACTGAAACTGAAAGTAGAAGGAAAACTCGAAGCTCTTCTGAAAGTACATGTATTGATACATCAAATGAAGACACAAATGAAGCTCTGCAATCAGTTACAGCATTATCAGATTCCTCAGTCCCAATGGATTCATCAGATGAAACTCAGGTGAAATTCTGTTTTTGGTAATAATTTGGATATATACCATTTTTGGTATTGGAATTGAAATGAAAGGTAGATGGAACATGTGTAAATTCAAAGGCTTTCACATATTGTCATGTGTTTTGCATGTTCTAATGATGTCTTATTCTGGCATTTCTGACATAGGATAACCGTGCTGGGGAAATAGTGTTTGCAAGCCTTAAAAACACTGCCAGTATATCAAGATGGTGGCCGGCTATTGTTATAGAAGGCAAGGAAGTCAATAAACCAGAGAAGGCAGGGTTTATCTGGATCTTCTGGTTTGGAGACCATAGAATATCTCAGGTAATAGAATATCTCAGGTAATAGAATATCCCAGGTAATAGAATATCTCAGGTAATAGAATATCCCAGGTAATAGAATATCTCAGGTAATAGAATATCCCAGGTAGGTCAAGATTTCTAAGAAATACATTTCAAACTTATATAGAGATACATATACTCAATATTTATGTTGATGAATCATAACTTTAGGCATTTAATTGTTTATTGTCTAAAAATTTAATGTATATATTTATATGTAGGTTATGGCCAGTAATATAGTGGACTTTCCATCCAATTTTACTCAATACGGATTGTGCAATAAAATAGTGAAGAATTGTCCAAACTTCAACAAAGGTCTGAGTGAAGCAATTCAGGTGAGCTAGTGCAAATCTTTTACTCTTCGTGGCTTAAGATCATTAGATTTTTTTTAATAATAATGTTTATTAGGATCAATGCTCTTTTGTGAGAGAATGCTCCACTTTGTGCTTGTTAAATACTGCTACATGTTGATCACTACAGATCTGTGCTGAGAGGGTAGCTAGAGACACAGAGGATGTAACTGAAGAGGAACTACTAATGTGGGCAAAAGATGGCTTCCCCTCAGATCGGGGACATTTCTTACCTGACCATAGTCAGTGATAGTTATGCGTACAGGATATACTAGATAGAGAAAAAGAGAAACTTTTTAATGTCGAAAATTTCATTTCAATGTATAGATTTTTGTTCATGATATTTAAAAATTTTCATTGGTAAAGATTGTTTGATTATGACCAAAAAAAAAAAGTTGACAAGAAAAGAAAATATTTGCCTAAAATCTTTGACAATGTATTATTTAATTATAATTTATAGCAAATTATGTAATTGGAAAATATATTATAGGAATTGAATGACTTTGTAGATGACCCTTTACCTCATATGGTGAAAAACTACCTCGAGAAGATAAAAGACAATTTGAAACATGTAGATACATCCAAAAAAAGATCTCCAAATAGTAAGGAACAACTCTCTTTTAAATACTTTGTAAACTTGAAGAAAAGATGTGCTTTAAAATGTATTGGAATATTCTAACAAATTTTAGAAAAATCTGTTTTAAAGGGAGGTAACTCCTTTTTCTCTGATAAAATTTAATATACTATATATACATCTTATTGCAGAAAGTGCAGTAAAGGCACTGAAAGCTGGTGAGAAAGAATTATCTGGTGAGTAATTCTTTTAAAAATTCTTTCTAATTATTAGGTCACCTGAGTAAACTCAGGTGACCTATTGCTATCCGTTTTCGTCCGTTGTCTTGCGTTGTGCGTTAACATTTGAACATTTCCAGCTTCTTCTCTGCAACCACTGAACCAATTTCAACCAAATTTGGCACAAAGCATCTTGGGTTAAGGGGAACAAAAATTGTGACTAAGTACATAGTTATGATGAGCAAGAGTACCTCTACCAAAATTGTGAATTTTATGGCCCCAGGTCAGGGGTTCTGGTGTTAGGGCAGGGCTCTATTGAATATATAGTGAAAATACATGAATTCTTTGAAAATTTTCCTCTCTGCTCCTAGGTATTAAATAAACTAAATGCATAGTAATGATGAGCAAGAGTGCCTCTACCAAAATTGTGAATTTTATAGCCCAGGGTCAGGGGTTATGGTGTTAGGGCTGGGCACTATTGATTATATAGTGAAAATACATGAATTCTTTGAAAATCATCTTCTTTGCTCCTAGGTATTAAATAAACTAAGTAAGTAAGTACATAGTTATGATGAGCAAGAATGTCTCCTCCAAAATTGTGAATTTTATGGCCCCAGGGTCAGGGGTTCTGGTGTTAGGGCGATGCTCTATTGTTTATTTAGTGAAAATACATTAAATCTTTGAAAATTTTCTTCTCTGCTCCTGGGTATTAAGAGATGAACTACCTATATAGTTATGAGCCCTAATCTTCCAGAATTGTGAATTTCAAGGCTCCAGGGTCAGGGGTACCATAGAGGGGGGGGGGCTGTACTTATATACTGAAAATGAATGAATTGTTTGAAATCTGCTCCTTGGCATCAATCAAATATTTCAAAATTGTGCAATGTGTGGATCTAGGCCTAAGGGTCAGGGGTTCATGTATGGTAGGGGCACTACTGATTATTGCTGAAATGCATTTTTGTTCCCCTACCCTGCCTATGGGTATTAAGTAACCAAACTAAGCAACTGCTAAGTGCATGGTTATGATGATCAATGGCGCCTCTTTCAAAATTGTGAATGCTATAGCATCTGGCTTAAAACATGAATCAAATTCAATCACTGGAAAGTTGTTGCATAATGCTCAGGTGACCTATAAGGCCCATGGGCCTCTTGTATACAAATCCATCTAATGGCCCTCATTTTTGACATTTTTTCTCATTAAAAAAAAAGGATATTGACATATGTTAATTTAGTGAGACAGATTTAAACTTTTATCTGTACGTTGGTTCTGATGGTGACATAGATATGAAATTGGTATAAATTTTTATGATTTCCCACCCAGAAATCTGCCTGTCTTGTGATGACTTGATGAATTTTATAATTGTTTTCAGAAATCTGCCTGTCCTGTGATGACTTGATGAATTTTATAATTGTTTTCAGAAATCTGCCTGTCCTGTGATGACATTGAACATGTGGAGGTAGAGGACCATCCTCTGTTCTTTGGGGGACTCTGTAAAACATGCAAGGTATACAGTAAAACATGGATATTCTGAACCAATGGGATAGGTCAGAATTGCTTCATACCATTTATATCTATAATTTTCTCATATGTAGGTAATAATTTGTTTAGATGTTATTCCAGGTGACTTTTTAAGCAACAAATAGATTTTTAAACACATGGATGAGAAATATTTTTGAATGTAGCAAATACTGAAGAATCACTGACTTCTCATGTCTTCTACAAATTAAAAAAAAAAATGACAATCAACTACCGGTATATATGAATTTAGATAACTGTACAATCTATTTACACATTTTATCCTCAGTTATTTTCTTTCGTAGGAAGAATGGAAAGAGAGTATACACATCTATGATGATGACCAAACCAATGTAAGTAAACTTCTGAAGTAAACAGTCAATTTGGAGTTTGAAATTCATCTTAATTTGTAATTCGTGACTTTCAAGTGTAATATATCATTTTCAAAATTTTGAGCAATTCATTTGAGTTGAAAAAAAATGTCATTCGTAAAGTACATACCTGAGAAGCGAAATAAAGTAGAAAGAGAAATTTATTTTGAATTATTTTTCCTCTATTTCACATTATTTGTTTAGACTTTCTGTGTGATTTGTTCAACTGGAGGGGATCTTGTTGTCTGTGAAGATGTGAACTGTGGAAAGTAAGTTTTGTCTGCTTCTCATCTTAATTTACAGTACACATGTACTGTAATTCATTTATTTTACATTGGTCAAATTTTATTGGTTTGAGAAAAAACAGGTGATTTGTGTGGAGTTGTATGGAGTAGAGATGGTAGACAAATATGTTGTTTTGAATTTTATGATTTGGTGGAGGACATGAATTTATTAACAGGTCTTTTTATTTGTTGAAAATTAAACCTACCACAACAATAAGTAATTTCACAATATCTGGTTGATGAAATAGTATCCTCTCTATTCTTATTGTCTCCTGTGAATTACAAGCACCAAGGCCACAAACCTGTCCTTCCACCATCAGATTTATCCTTGTATCTTTCTAAACCTCTGATTTTACTAACAGTACCTTCTACTAACAGGTCGTACTGTGTGGAGTGTATCAAAAACTTTCTGAGTGAGGGGCAGCTGAGAAAAGTAAGATGGACATTTCTTGTTGCATTAACCAGTAATATTTAACTCCAAAGGCAAGGTACTTTTAAATGGAGTCAAACTAATAATGCATGTATCATAATGCTGAAATTGTAGATAAAGGACAGTAAGATCTGGAACTGTTTTCTGTGTACTCCGTACACTAAGCCCACCCATGGAGTTCTGATCCCCAGGCCAAACTGGAGGGACAAAACTGTCCACATCTTTGATTCTGGATACAGAACTGATGTAAGATCCTACAATTAAATTGAATTAAATAAAATGATGATGTTTCTAGACAATTGTTATTGTGATTAATGATGTATTCTTTAATTTTTTTGTTTTTAACATTTCATAAATGTGTCTATAAAGCTTTAACAAGTTCAGTTTTTTTGTGTGCATTTTATGTGTTATTTTGAAATGTATTCTTTGAATTATTATTACATATAATTTTTTTTATTTTAGTTCCTTGAAAAAGGAGTGTAAAAGTGACTTGTATTCATGAAAATTATTTCAGATTTCACCTTCATTTTTCAAAGGTCCCAAAGAGCCAGTAAGGGTATTGTCACTCTTTGATGGAATTTCAACTGGTAAATCTATACGTAACTAACTTCTACTTTTGCTTTGTTGCATGGACCTGGTAATTTTAATATAAATACAGAGCTATGTATTACAGTAGTGAACAAAGATCATTTTCAGGTTAATGTATTAGATATTGTCTCAGTTTCATTATTGAGTGCTGTAACGAGGGACATAACTCTGTGTTAAAATTTAATTTGCTATTATTTGTTTCTTTGATGGGTCCAGAAAGATTTAAAGAAAAGGATAGGAAGGGTATTATTTATTTGCTGAAAATATTTAAAACACCTTGAAGAAATGCTTGATATTTGCAAAAATTCAAGTACCTGTGATCAAATAAGCAGAATTATACTGAATTTAAACACCTATGCCCCATCGTGCACATAATGCATTGCATGATGTAAACTTGAATCTGCAATTTTAAAACACATTAAGGTACCAGTACACTTTTCATACACAAAATACTTAACAGAAGTATTTCTTTTTTTATGGAATGTAAGCAAACTTTCCTATAGATAGAAAGTGCATGGTCTAAAATTGTGGAATCTTAATTTAGAGTTTGCCCAATAGCAGCATTGCTTAAAACTGCAGTTAACCTTAGTGACGTACTTTTATAAATTTTTTTCTGAAAGGAAAGGTGGTTTTAAA